TGAAAAAACAGAGGTCTTCTGCCGATGCCCTTGATCATGCTTTTCTTGGTATGGTACATATTCTACCCCGCTACACATACACACGCACAGACATGCACACACACACACACACACACACACACACACACACACACACACACACACACACACACACGTAATGGTGGTGTTATTATACTCTAACAGTGTAAATGCAAGAAAGGGATCAGCTCTCATTTTATTCTTTAACCGTTGCTCACTCTTCCTCAATAAAAATCAGGAGACAACATGAACTGTAAATAATTCATTAATTTGAGTTATGATGTGGGTTGTCCCATCTAAGTGCCGAGGGCTAAAACCTGATGGATCATCCAATATTTTATTATTATGCTTGGAAAATAAGCTTTGCTATGGGGAAACATGGACTGTCAAGCACTTCATTTTTGTTACTCTCAAAATGCCAAAAAGTGACTTCCCTTGTGCTGTCCTTGTGCCTTTCGTATGAATTTAAGCTGTAGCTTACTGCAGCTATAAGCTCTTTGTTAGGTGTGTAACACTTTATGTCTTAATTTATTTGTAATGCCATGTGTCTTTAGGGCACATCCCACAAGCCATGGATATCTTATCACACTTGTGGACCACCCCTTAAGATAGATGATAAGATACGAGTTCTTGCTTGTAGTCTGTAGTATGGTATAGTCAGAGAGGGTGGGGGGGGGGGAGGAGACAGAGAGTAAGAGGCGAAGGGATGAAAAGAGAGGAAGATGGGGGAGGGGGGGTGAGAGAAAGGGTGTCAACATATTGTTGCTGTGCTAGCAAAATGGCCCATCTCATTTAGATGGGGAAAAAAATGTTGAACTGGACTATTTTTCTTCTAATGATGGTAAAAGTTGCCATGCATGTTTCTTTTGTAACTGCCAGCACATTTTTTTTTTATTTCACTAAAGATAGATTAGTACCACCAAACAAATTGAAAGGAGTAGTAGCATTTTTGCACAACTCGAAGTTATGCCACTTTGCTATCACTGTGACAATATTCTACTTTGTCTTCCTCAGTGTCTTGTTCAAGTGTGTACTGTGGTCAGTGTATGGCCTCATGATGTCTGCAGTCTGTGTGTCCAGGTTGTTTATTGCCACTCACTTCCCACATCAAGTGATAGCCGGAGTACTCGTTGGTAATAACTTCAAGATGCAATAAATGTGAACTTTTCTATCATCTTGGGACATGTTACTCGCTGTCACTGACAGTGATGAATATAATTACTGCTCTTATACGAAAATGATTGATAGTTTTCTCTCTCTCTCTGTGCCTGTCTTTCACTTCTTCATTTCTCTCTCTCTCTCTTTCTCTCCCCCCCTCTCTCTCTCACGCTCTCTCTCTCTCTCTCTCTCTCTCTCTCTCTCTCTCTCTCTCTCTCTCTCTCTCTCTCTCTCTCTCTCTCGTTCTTTCTTATGCAGATATCCTCAAGCTAACATGTGCCCCCCTACACACAGATACATACCAAAGAGACATAAAGACGAGAGGACATTTGAAGGAAGAGAATATATCCCTGGAAGAGTTATGAGATAGGGGAGGTTTTTTGCTTTTGCATTTGCTAGAAATTATTCTAATGACTATTCCTTTTCCATTGTATATTTATTATATATACATTGTAACAATCAACTTGTAAACTTTTTTTACCTTAAATTATTGGATAGATTGCCTCTATGAGACCATTCTTTTCGCTTAGAAAATAAACTGACTGATGCAAGTGCAAGTAGATAATTAAATTATGAAGATATCTGTTGAACTACTTACTTTCTACTGCAATGGCATAGGAGTAGGGAGGGGAGAGAGTGGCAACATTTTGAAAGAATGTCCCCTAGGAGATATTCGATTTCCTTAGTTGGAGTTCGGAATTTCATTAAAACTAGATTTCATTTCTTGGTCCATTCTCTGAATCGTGATTGAATCTGAATTGTAACTGACAAGGTTATTACTCTTTTGGCATGGGTTTTAGTTGAAATTTAAAACTTACTGTTCTTTTACTTCAATATTGACCTTTGTCTTACTCATATTATTTTGGACTACACTTTACTTTCATTAAGTATCACCCCAATGTGTAAACAGAGACTAATTACTAATCATCATAACATTTATTTTTAGGTATCATTTTAGCCAAACTGTTCAACTCAGTCTCCACCTCGGCCATGACCTTGAGGACGTACCTAGTCGCCTCCACTGTCCTGTCAGCAGTTGCTGTTCTTACCTACTGTCTGGTATTTGCCTTTGGCCTCGACCCATTTTGGTCAGTGTCCTTGGCCTTGAAAAGGTGCGCTCTTCGAGACTGGGTGCACTTGGACACAACTTTGTTTTACTCCCTGATTCGTGACATCTCTTCCCTGCTAGGTAAGGTTGTATGGTTAGTTCATGTTTAGTTTTATGGCGCTTTCTACTCAATTGCTCATTGTCAGCATTGCTGCTTGTTTGGTGCTTTTTTTTTTCTAGGTTTCATCAAGATGGCACGGCAACTGCAACAGATATAATGTAAGGACCCTTTTTTTTGTAAAGGATGTTCACTTTCAGTTTCAGAATTTTTCTTGAGTACAGAGCATTCAAGAAGTGTCGGGGAAGAAAAAAACCCCCCAGATGCTTTGACCCATCTGGTACAGTCTATGGAATTTTATTCTTCATGTGACTTGTGTACTCATGCAAGACAGTAACTTATTTTGTGGAACTTGATAAGATGAGATTTTTCTTTTCAGCTACTACATACTTTGGTCTGTTTTTAAGGCTTTTCATTTACATATGTGAGGCATCGTGGTGGAATCAGGCGCTCGTCAAAATAATGAAATGGAAGAAACAGGAATTTTTCCTCCAATTTGGCCATTTTTATCACATTTTTGTTTTTTGGCTCAACACCTTTTATGGCCATATATATAAAAACACATTTTCACAGGAATGGAATTTGAATGATAATTTTCACTTTAAAGGACTCTCAAGCTATAGAAGTTACCAAACTTTTACGACCATTTTCAAGATAATTTTCTGAAACTATGCTACCCTCACCTCCTTCAATCGCAAATATTTCGGGGGGGGTTTTCATGGAAAGCAAGGCAAGTGAATAAGCTTTCGGATGATACCAATAACCCAACATGCCTAAAAACTGATGTGCGCCTGATTTCACCACGTTGTGGTGTTCAACATTTTCTTTAATTACTTTAACCCTAACTCTGGCAAGGGCCGATTAGATCGGCCCATTTCCTGCCATGAAACTGGCAGGGCCGATCTCATAGGACCATATAGTAAACTGCTGCTTCTGCCTTCCAACTAAATATTTGGGGCTTCCTAAAGTGATTTCTGATTGGCTAAAAGGCTAACCTCCAACCAATCAGAATATTTCTACCATTCTGGCTTAGGAGAAGAGTATTTTGCTTTCAAAACAGAGGGATGTTTTGAAAGCTTGTTGATCAGGTCACAAGCCACTAATGCCAGTGTAGATCTATCACTTGTGTGGGTCTAAAATGGCCAAAAATCGATCTTTTTGGATACATTTGAAAGTGAATTGACCAGGGAAAGTAATTCAGACACTGTTAGTGGTGGATTTATTGGTGTTCAGTCAAGATTGGGATTAGATCTGACAGACAATGGGGATACATGTACCAGTTCTCATCCTGCCCCAACTTCTCTTTCAAATGGAACACTAGATATCTAGATTCTACTACTTTGGGAGTCTAATAGGGGCAGAAAAAGGAGAGCTATAGAGTAAAGTAGGTTCCTTTTGCTATGCTAATTATTACAGACTACCAGCAGATTGCTGAAAACCACATGGTTGTACTTATAGTGTTTTTATGTTGAGTATGGTATGAAATTAGCGAGTATCAGCTGCGCTCGAAACAGACCACATGACAAATTGAAACAGTCATAACTCATTACCTGTTCTTCTCAAACCTATAAAACTATACATTTTCTGAAAGGTAATTGAAAAACCTATATTTCTGCTATCTCACATTTTTTATAACAAGAAATACATTAGATTGATGAATATGCTAATGAGCATGTAAATTTGTTATGTCAGCCATCTTGGATTTCAAAGTTACATAACCCCTTGAAAATTAAATAAAATCATATGTTCAATGGCAAAATATAAAAGTTCATTCAATTATCTTTCAGAAAATATATACTTTTGTAGGGTTTTTATTTGATGCAAGTCCATAAATTTGATTTGTAAAGCATGTGCACATTTTGGCTGATTGGCCCTGTCATTCCTGTTGAAACCACTTGCCAGAGTTAGGGTTAATACTAATAATACGCATTATAATTTTGCCTTAGAACTGCAAATTTTTTTTTCAAATATATGTTGATGTGCACAGACATGTTTATGATATACTGCAGAGAAGGGAAGAGCCTCTATGAATATATCATGGCTATGACAACCCTTAACTCTTCCTTCATTAATCATATAGTATCATGTGCCCTTGTGCTTTAACTCTAAATTTGTTGTGTTTTCAGGGCTTGGTTTTGGACTGTGGCTAGACAAGAGATTAACGGGAAATGGGAAGTCCCCGTTCAGGCCTTTAGTTCATCTGCCGCTTGCTTTAGCCGTGACTCTGGCATCAGAAAGTCTCAAATTTCCTCAGGATAATATGATGTTGTTTTATGCTTTGGGATTTTTGAAACATTTCTTTGTTGTGTGTGTTGTAGTAGCAGGCGTGTCAAGGGTTAATTTATGACAGAAGGAATAACTCTATATAGCACACTGAGTCGTGTCTGTCTTTGTTGAGGTTTTTGGAATGCCTGTGCACTGTATGTCTTGCCCAAAATAAAACAATGTGAAGCTGTCAAAGCTGCATACAAGGATAAATGAGTTTGAAGACAATTTGAACAATGTATGTGTACACAGGGTCTTGGTATTGTGCTCTAGAAACTTCTTAACTCATTTATTTGTTGCATAGTTATGAACTTATCTTGCATCTTCTCAAAACTAAGCCTAGTGTTTTAAGGCACTTGCAACTGCATAAGGTCATTTGAGCGCAAACTAGGCTTTAGTTAGTGATTTAATACTAATATGCAAGTCTTGTTGGCAATCTCTGATAACCGACTTTTACACATGATGCTCAGTACTTTTATATATGTTGAATTATATACTGTAGGCTGAAATATTTCTATGTGAATAAGGTGTGGAGAAAAGAGAAAATGTTGACAGTGGCATAGGAATTAAACCAGTATTTTCTTTGAAAAGTTAATTTTATTTAAATAGAATATGATTATTTAACAACTCTGCTGGAAAACCGCACGCTTACAGTCAAGCATGGATAACTCGAACACTTCAGGGTTGACATATAATGTATTTTTGATACATGAAAGTCAACTACGGAGGAGTTGATGTTTCTATGGAGGAGTAAAAAAAAGATCATCTCATCTGAAGTTCAACGATACTGTTGGGACCTGTAAACATGTAGAGGTGCTGGGACCCGGGGAAAAAGATCAGCTTAACCGAAGATCAACTCGAACAAGTTTAATACAAGTGGAGTCGACTGTACATCCATAATTGGAATAAACTGTGATAACGAAAAATACGAGAGATATTGAAGAAACTCAAGGGAATTAAATGTAACAAAATATTATTGGATAATTAAGTGTATTCTCTTCTCTGTCATCATGAAAAGTAACCAGTATTAATAAAAGGATAGAAGGATGGATAGTGCTCACACTTTGTTCGGTGTCAAAGCTAGAGAAAGGAAGAGTGGGATACTGATGAGCCTTACAACTGAAAAAAAAAAGGTTGTTCTTAACTGAGTTTTTTCCAGTTACCTAAAGCTGATGCACTATGTCTTATTAATTTATAACCCCAAAACCTTGCCTCCAACTTCTAAATTGCGGAAACAAAGGCTTAGTCATTAACTAAAAAAGTTGGAAAGGGAATAGAACAAGTAAAAACTAGCACTATATGAAACAAAACAGTTGTCACTAGTATCGTCTGATGGGGAACAGAGTTATTGGCGCTCCCAGCGTCTGATGGGTTTTAAAGAGTTAAGTAAGGTCACCGTCATGACTATGTTATCAGCTCTGGTCAGAGCATGCCACGACCCCTCTAGTATTATTACTTCCCAAACCATGGGGCCTATTTTCACATTCAAACAACCACACTCACAAAACACATACAGTGGAAACCTTGTATAACAGGCCCTGTTATAATAGGAATCCGGTAATAACAGGGATTTTTTAAATCCCCATTTTTTTTCTACTCTTTGTCTCTTTTAAGAGTTATTGGCAATAAAAGGGTCTCATCAGAGCCCAATCGGTTATAGCAGGGACAGAGGCTCTTTCACAGTGTGTAAAAAGTAAGAGAGAGAGAGACAGATAGAGAGACAGAAATGCTGTGATGGAGCAAGCAAGCCCACGCCACTGATGAAGCGAGAGAGGGCTGCGATGTGCTGCAGACTTCGACCTAGCCCTAAGTCTAAGTTTAGCCACACGCACGCGTAATGTGTCATCATGCGCAGACCTGCCACATGGCCACGAGAGATGGCTGTGGTGTGGCAAGGGAAACTACCCATGAATAAATACAGCTGTATTAGTCCACAAATGCTTACTTCCCTTGCATTTCTGATTTAACAGGGATCAGATATAACAGGACTTTTTCTCTGGTCCGGCCATCCCTGTTATATCAGGTTTCCACTGTAATTCATACCATATGGTCCAATGCAGCACCAGACTGTCTTCAAACCTACCCCCACATCCATTATGATCCATCCTACTTTCCAGAAATTTCTAACGTCATGCACAAAGTACAGGTAATGTACGATTACGATGGTGCTTCTTGATACCACCAGCAGAGTGTCTATATCAGCAGTAGTAGTAGTGGTAGTTTAACACTGTGTGGAGGCAAGCCTTATGGACTCATGGTACCTGACATTTTCCTTGATGATAGATGATATACCATACTATTTTATGCAGAATTATTTAAATTTGAGGCAATTATGAGGAAAAATTTGATTGGGTTTTTCAGTTTGAGCTGTTCGACACAGCCACGCAATGCATAATCGAAGAAAACAGAGGGATTACTCTGGGGGAAAGGCATATTCATCAAGCTTTATTATATATAGGCTATATATATATATATATATATATATATATATATATATATATATATATATATATAATATATGTATAGTTTCACAAGTTTAAGTTATCTGTGCTCGACTATGTATTTTTTCTTGGTTGTTCTATAATTATTGTAGCCTACTTGGAGTTAAAATCGTGCAGTTTTTGGATGTTTGTTTCCAACGTTCTTTGTCAGCGGATTTCTTGAATGGCATGTGTTATAAAGTCTCAAAGTTGTTATGTGTTTTTTGTTATTATACAAGTTTAAGGTCATGTTGTGGCACTGTGGGCCTTTTTGCCCAAATTACATCCAGAATAACAATAACATACATGATGATGATGTCATCCCATTTTGCATCTCACAGCAGACTAATAATACAGTGGAACTCGGATTCAACGATGTCGCCGGGCCTGACCTAAAACCTTGTTGAATCCGAGTGTTCGTTATAGCAAACACGAGGTTTTGTGTGGATAATTATAGGCACTGAGCAAGTAATATGTAAAGTGGAGTAACAAGCGGTGCAACAAGTGGTGCCTGAAATGCCTGCGTATTATGAGTTGTGCAAAAAAAAAAAAAAAGACCGATTCTTTCAAATACACACCTGTGTCATTTCGATTGTTTGCCAAAAAGTTGTGTTGCTGTGATAAGAGCCTAGCATAAGGCAACTTTTGATTCCGTAGACCAGCGCACAATTCATAACAAAGATCTACGTCGAGTTTAGCTTATCATTGTAATAATGATCAGTTGCCGGAGGGAAAAAAAGACTGTGACACGTTTGTATCTGCGACATTCGACGTCCGGACCGATGGTGCCGCCCCCCGACACGCACACACAGTCACACATGTGCAGGCGACCCATCCAACCCCGAAGCACGCTAGAGTAGAAACGTGCGCGTGCCAATAACGCATTTGTTGTGGTATGAAAGAAGGCCGCTGATTGGTTGCATGCAATCGACTAAACTAAGTGAATAATGGTTCAGGATGCTGGTGCAATGGATGGTTTCAGGGAATAGATAAAATTCATTGTGGGAGAAAAATGAGCGAAGCCACGTTTGCAGGGGCTGTTCACCCTGATAGCAACCTCGTTGAATCTAAGCTTGCTGATTTAAGTGTTTGTTGAATCCGGGTAATTTTTATTGATTTTAAAGAAGAAGAAAATGGGGAATCCATCTCCTTTCATTGAATTCGAGTTCCTCTGTATTTAACAGATTATTTTCAAGTTCAAGTGCCATGCTCTATTATTATATCTCGTTTCAAACTTTAATCCAATGTGCAATGAAAAACTTTAGTTGTACCTGTGACTGTGAATGTGAGTATATTATGAGAGAGATGCCTTTATTTGACTGATGCTCTTGTCAACGGTCTTCATGACAACATCAATTGTGCAAAAACACTTTTTGATAAAGGGTGTGATTTTTAGTTCATAACTGTCATGTTTTATTTGTTTGCAAAATGTACATTGTTAAAAATGTAAATTTCTTTTTTGAAAAGTTTTAGTATTTCATACAGAAAAAATGTTTGATGTTATTTTAAGCATATTTGACTTGAGATCTAACCACATTTAGCTTTACCGGTATACAAAAATTAAAATTGGGACTGAGTACATTATTTTATCATAAAGTATGGAATTAGGGGGGGGGGGGGAATAAAGATTTACAATAAAATATTTCTTTTAATCATAATCACCATGACTTAGATTACTTATTAAGCTATTGTTATATTTTTCTGGAAGAAAATACATGATACTACATATTATTATTATGCAAAGGAATTGGTGTTCTGTTGTTAGTTTAGTCTGAGATCAGGGATGATCCCTTCAGAATCAAATACAGTATGCTTGTACTTGTTCCCATAGATTGTTGTTGAAGAATACTTGAGGACATGCATGGTGGAACACAATGCAAATGTACTATTCCTCTTAGTTGTTGATGGCTAACACACAACTATTAGATGCTATGCTGCATGATATGTCAAAGACGGGAGGCTTTTTCTGAAGCATATAAATAAAAACTTACTTATTTTGTGCCCCCATCGACACGATTTTTTATATATTTTAGAAGGCAGGTTGCTTTTTTACCTGCCTGTCAAAGCTAACCTGGACAGAGAGAGGTAGGCCTACAAATCCCAGCAGGCAGATTGAGATATTCAATAAAATAACTTCTTTACTTAGGAATCAAACTCACGTCTTCTGTGTGCAATATCACACAGATGCTGGTAGGAATTCCGAATACTAGTACTACACTTGACTTGGTATGTGTGTATGCTTTTCATTTCATAGTCCATTTTTTTAGGCCAACACATTCTTTTGCTGACCGAAAATAAACATAGAGTGGTAAAACATTTTTGGACCAATTTTTTACATACATATAATTTAGGAAGAGGCTAGAGAGACCAGGATCCTGGTCTGTCTAGCCTGTGAGTCTAGAGAGACCAGGATCCTGGTCTGTCTAGCCTGTGAGTCTAGAGAGACCAGGATCCTGGTCTGGTGTGGTCTATTGTCTCTAAAGAGACCAGGATCGTGGTCTGGTGTGGTCTATTGTTATGATCGTGGTCTGGTGTGGTCTATTGTCTCTAAAGAGACCAGGATCGTGGTCTGGTGTGGCCTATTGTCTCTAAAGAGACCAGGATCGTGGTCTGGTGTGGTCTATTGTTATGATCGTGGTCTGGTGTGGCCTATTGTCTCTAAAGAGACCAGGATCGTGGTCTGGTGTGGCCTATTGTCTCTAAAGAGACCAGGATCGTGGTCTGGTGTGGTCTATTGTTATGATCATGGTCTGGTGTGGTCTATTGTCTCTAAAGAGAACTTGCCTTCGTGGACACACCTGAAGGTGACGTGGGTGTACTTCAAATCCTCTTTGTAACGAAAGTTGCCTTTCAGTTTTGAATTTGCAGCCCTCACTGTCAAACTGGACTTCCCTACCACTAGATGCTCGTTGCTTTCGGCTTTCCTCGACGTCAAGACAGCCATAAAATCATCAAATGAGTCGAAATACTGCCCTACGGAGATGGGGGCCGCCATCTTGAAGTCGAAAATTGAAAGGAAAGGAAGTTGGACTCGGGGTTTGAGCATGCGCACACGCAGAAAATTTCCCTGGTCTCGGGAGACACTTCCAAAGAGCTATAATTTATGTACTTACTTTTCCTTTTTCTTCCTCTGTTGGCATTAAGCGTCAAGAGGAGATGCAGTTTTCTATGTTAGGTCAGCTCCGCAACTCTTTCAACTGGAATATAATTTTTTCAGGGTTTCCTTGGCTCCCTCTATCCACCTTTTGCATGGCCTTCCTCTTCCTTTATAGTATAGCATAGCCCGAGTGCTTAGTGTTAGGCTCTCAAGGCTGGCTGGCTAGGTGACATTAGGAGGCCAAACCATTTTTTATTCGCTGTTTTTCTGTAACAATGTGTCAATAGTTGCTCTACGCTTACTTCTTCATTCCTTTGCCTGTTTCATCTTGTGATGATATCTTGCACAATTTATCAATAAAACATAAATATTTCCTAAACTATCGAACACAGTCTCTCCAGTCTGGCTTTTGCACAATGACTTGTATCAATTTGTCTTACACTTACATATCTACACTTTTGTAAAGACCTGTTAGCTTTATTCTAAAAAATTCCCTAATAAACACTGTTTTTAAAAAATCCCTAAGGCCCTTGGATGGTTTCTCCAGATTTTATTAAAAGGTTCACAATCCATGAGCTGGGACCATATCACTTTTAAAAGCAAGTCCTTCCTTTCTTCTCATCATGACACAATGCTTATTGAACGCATGTTTTAAGAATCTTTAGTGCAAAAAAGTGGGTACTATAGAATTTTCTGTAACAAGTTTTGCCACTTAGTCAGTGATGAGCAGTCATGTACTGTAGGCCATACAAAATGTGCATGAGAACCAAGAAATGGTATATATATGAACATTTCCATTTAACGCGTAACGTAGATTTGTAGTGCAACATTTTATAAGAAGAAAATGTTTTTAATCTAGCCTCATTTGTTGTGGAAAAATATGATTACGTTAAGACTAATTGATACATACCGCTGTGCAAAATACAGGGGACATTGGTTCATCCGTTACAGAGATATTTGAGTGAGGATGAGTTGTGTCACCAATTTTAGATTGCACTATTGGTGGCTGCATTGAATTTCTGACCAGTAGGCCAATTCTGCTTTTCGGACCAATGACTTAACTAGAGCCTCAAGGTAATGGACCTGACAGGGTCCTTTGGCATAAATCAGAAGAAAAAAAAAAGAAACATTCATGAGAGATGGCACAATCTTAATTCACAATGTGTGAGGTTACACCCGCATTTGGTCAAATTTTGTTTCATTCAACTGGTTTTCATGTGTCAGCATGGCCGTTTTCAAACCAAAGCATAGTGTCTCTCATCTTTTAGGCAATCACATAAAGATTTTTGAGCATCTTTTATTTATCATACTGGATTGCTCCATTTTTACAATCAAGAGTCTTGATTGATGACAATAGGATCAGGAGTAATATCCCACCTGTGGTTGGGCGGCCAGCTTATTCTGGATTTTTATTTGTCAAAGTTGCTTCTACGTGAGCAACATGTGTGACATTGTGAGAAGAATGAGCAGATAATTTAAGTAATTTGGGGGTGCATATTTGTGTCAACACCAAATGTGAAGCGAGCTGACAAAATTAGTTACTTCTCGGATTCAAGCCTCAAGGAAATAGATACATCACGCTTATATGTGAAGTTTTTACATTGTTAAGTATGAGAGAATAAAAGACAGGTTATAGTTAAAGTTCAAGAATATGGCATTAAAAGCAAATCTACAAATTTGACTCTAGTGTCGATTTTTGGCCAATATCTCCATTTGCGGATTGTGAGAAGTAACTCATTTTGTCAGCACGTCTCACGAATATTCATATTTTTAACAAGAGCTGGTGAAGGCACACTGTCCCTTTTACTTTCATCCACTGCAAGATCTAAAGGAATTTGTAATGTCCTGTCTTAAGGACTCTCAAGCTTTCAATTCATATTTTTAAAGAATTCATGTACCATGTCTATACAGTGGTGTTGGTAGTGGTATCCTACCGGAGTTGTAGTCGTGAGATTGCGGATTCAGGGGTTTGAGCATCAGCTTGGTCCAATGTTGTGACCTTTGGATGACACCTCAAATGAATTTCCTATTTGGTTCCACCCTTTCGAAAATAAACGTTAAACTTAGAGGTTCTGCCTCTTAAATAACCTTTTAGTGTTGACAGGGACATTAAACCTATACCATTTCTTTTTTTAGGTTGGTCCTATTTGCACTTTGCATGGAAAAGACAGATATCAGAAGTACTGTTTTTAATATAGAATATTATTATGTCCCTACTACTACTACCTAAGGTAGTACCTTATCAAACAGGCACTGCGCCTCTAGATCGACTAACCCCTACAGTCTTCTAAAGGTTCCCAATCACATATTTTCTTTCATGAGTGAGAAAACAGAAGCACATCTACAGAATAATGGCCATTTAGTTTAGAATAAGAAAAAGACTCACAGACAGGAACATCACAATGAAAGATGAAAATGAAAAAAAAGAAAGAAAATGATTTAAAATATTAGGCTTATTAGCGAATAAGAAAGTAGTAGTAGTAGTACTACTAGTACAGCCAGCCAACCACTCAAATAAAAACAACAAAACAAAAAAATTTGAATAGAAAACCCTTTCAAATTTATTGAACCCATAGCCAAGTCACCAATCATCAAAGTTATGATGCTAGCAAAATGGGTGCCACGTGGGTGACAATGAGAAAAATAAGATGGATGATGATAACAACAGCGTCAACATTCAATAACCACTCTTACTTTCACACGATGCTCATGCTCTGAACCAGCCATGCAAATCTCAACTGGCAATCATGACACAGACAATGACAGACACAGCTCAAAACTCTGCGAACAGCAAAAACAAGGACTGTTTCCATGGCCTTAAAAAATCTTAGCTGTGACAATAAGCCAGTGATAAGTTGTAGACAATGAACAATAAAGATGATGAAATGGCTGAACTTGATGAAAATGAAATCAGATGATTTTTGGAGATGATGATCAAAGACAAACGTAAGAGGAATACAAGGTCATTATGTTTTCATGGGTTCTGTGCCATCAGGATTTTTGCCTTGTTTCTCCAACTCCGCTCTGAAAAAAAAAAAGAAGAAAAATAAGAAATTAAATTTTTTTTTAATCCAAACTTTTTTTCAAAACTGGGTCAGAGCTGAGCTGAAAGCCAAGAGTTCAACACCTGTACAAGCTAAAAGAACACAACAACAATATACATGTGACTCCATGAGGTCGGAGAACACATAACAAGTCCACTTTCCACTCACTCTATATGTTTGTCATTTCCTAACGGATGACACCCTCTTTTCCAGAAAATTCTCCACAAACTAACCTCCTGTAGTGCCAGAGGCTACAATCCTGCCAACACTTTAACTCCTAGCAGTTCATGCACAACTATATCATATAAATACGATGGCTGGTGATGTGGTATTTTGTCCATAAAATACATTTACTTTTATAAAGAAAGATTTTGTAAGGTATTTTTATCAGAAGCCTTCTTTCAGATCAGCATGTGCTTTGTTAACACCCACATTTATAAGACATTATGTGTCCTTGTGTGTGCCAAGGTCAAGGGAGGTCAGACGGATGGCCTGCACAAACATGGCTGTTACTGTGTGTCCGCAGAGATACAGACATGTCACAATCACATTGCTGCCCCCCCCCCCCCCCCAATACTCGTCTGTAGGCTAGCTTAGACAAAAATCTACAAAATGAATTGCGTGCTGGTCTATGAAAACAAACTTTGCTGTATGCTAGACCCTGTACTGCAGCACAACTTGTTGCACTTATTGCTATTACAAACCCTCAGAGATTCAACAAAATTGAAGGTCAGCCCAGACAAATTTGTTATACATCCAAGTTTCACTATAACTGGAACATTTGTGAATAAATAATACAAAGCTGCTGCTGATGCTCCAGAATGTGCAAAACCCTTTTTCAACCTAACCATCAATTACATTTTTGGTTTTAAACACTTTCACCAGCTCAATGCTATCACAAGCAAGTAAGACCACACTGCAACATTTAGAAATTACTTGCTGAAACCAGACAACCCCATCATGGAAACTTCTTCGTTCCTTACGAAACTGTAAAAAATTAACTCCAATGATAAGAAAACTATCGAAACCAGTTCATTTTAGGTACTCACCTCAGCTGCTTTGAGAAATCATCATCAATATTATCATCATCCCAGTTGTCCTCCCACACATTGATATCCTCTGGCTCTTCCTCCTCACCATTCCAGTCTGAAGAGTTGAACAAAGCATTGTTTATTTGTTTTATGTCGAGATTTAATTAAAGAAAATACCCTCCTGAACATAGAATGATAGATCATACCTCTACTGAGACGTAAACAATAATTTACAGCACAAAAATCAGTTCCTTGTAATTAATCTTAGTTCATACAAAAATTTGTGACCCAGTTCCCGGCCCTAGTTCTGGATGAGTGGAAATTTTAAGTAGGTACGTAAAATGTACTGCACACAGGGATCTGAAACTTTACAGCAAATAAAAAAGAAGACATGGGGCTCCTGTCTGGTCACATCCATGCAGCAGCTTCTCTTCGTCTTTTTTAACCCATTCGCTACATATTATTTTCTGCTTGTGGACGAATTTTTTCGGGAAGCCGAAATGAGATGATGACCAGTGCGCAGTTCAAAGGTCTTTGGGGCCACAAATTCAAATTAATATTAAGTTAACATATTATGCATCGAAATTTTCAGTATGATTTGTAGAATACATCTGTAATGTTTATTGGTGCATTTTTCAACTTTGCTTCCTGTAAGATGCAACACAATTTTGCTTGGACGCGGATAAAATTTGAAAATAAAAAATTAATCATCTTCGGTGAAACTCAAAAAATATGTTTGCACCTAGTCAAATGATACATCAAAATAACCATAAATGAAATATAGAACTGGAAAATATTGAAAAATTTCCAGTCATTTATATACATTCCAAAAAATTTGCACATTTGGATCATGACATCAGATATTGAAAAAAAATACAAGAATTTTATAATCTTGAAAAATGGACAAGATGCATTCACAAACAGAAAAAAAACCACTCGTATCGTATACAGAATTATTCAGAATTGCATTTGGAATAAACCTACACATGTCTTGAGGGGTATTTTTGTGTAATTTCACAAAAAAATAGTGATTTTTGGGAGAAAAAAATAATTTGACCATTTAGATCTAGTAGATCTAGATCTAGATCTAGTATTGAAAAATATTGATTTCTCAATAACGGAGCAATAGCAATTTGAGCCCAATTGTATCAATATTCTAAAGAAGAGTCCTACATTTCTTTAGTGTGCAAATTAATATATTTTGTTGTGTAAAAAAACCAGTAAGACTGGGGTCTGAGTTATAATTTGAGCATCGCGATAAAACAAAGTCGCATAAACTTCGAAATTATGTTTCTAAACTTCCGATTTTCGGTGGAAACACTTGACCCGAAAGTCAACATTATATTATGACCTTTATTTTAACATGGATTATGGGGATTGGAATAGAATCTAAGCTAAAATTGAAGATCAGTTTTCAAATATTCCAGTTCTGCGATACTGATACTATTTGGACAAAAGATGGGACTTGAGATAATTAGGATTACTCGCCCAAGCTGAAACTCGTATTTTTCCCATTCCAGGATGCATATTTTTTCATGAAAAGTCGTATTCGCATATTTTCGGCAAAAAATCGTACTAAAATACATAAAATCGTACTGGTTGGCATCTCTGACTTGTTCCTACCTTCATTAGATTCTAAATATACATGTTATATATATATAGATTTAAATGTGTTATGTTTGTTATGTTAGAAGAGCGTTTCACCAAAACCGATTACATGTACTGACACTGGCAGGCCCCTTGTGTGTGATTCCATATTTCACATGTAATATCCCGTACTTTATTTTGAATTACGCACATTTAGGGTTAAAAAGCCAATCTTCTTCGGACAGGTGAACACACGCCTTTATTAATTGTTAATTTTTGTGGTTGTTTATGGGCTGTTCTAATTTTGATTTCATTCTGTTGTGAAACCTTTCTTTTTCACGTTTTTACACTCATCTAAAAAGCTCTAGACTAGCTCTTGAAAATTGAAATTGACCTTGGCCTTCCGTTATGGTCAGTACAGGAACTTCTTGCAAGGAAAAGAAGACAAGGCATGGATAGAGAAAGATGAAAAGTGTCAGAAAAGAGCTAGATCTAGATCTAGAGCTGTAAACATGGTACTATTGCGCACCCAACCAGACGATATGTTGCACCAAACCAGAAACCTTGCGCACCAAACCAGACACACGTTACCAAACAAACACCACCACAACATATAGAAATTTTAAACTGCTGTTACAGTAATGCGCTACACCGTATGGAGAGGAAGTTTTTCTAACTTCTGGTGAAAAAATCATGAAGATCGACCTGTAACTTTCAGAGATATCCACAAAAGATCGCTTACTGTATATCGCACCACAGGATGTACTCTAGATTAGATTCTAGACTTTATCAGGGTTACATTTCCTTGTCACAAAAGTCGGGACCACCATATATCCAAGGGCCACCTCTATCACCCGGTGGGCGTTCACCAAATTTTGCGTTCACCCTAAACCACAGAATTCTACACTGTGATAACAGAAAAATTGTACAATTCTGTGCCGTGAACAAACGTTCCATTACAACTGTAGCCTACTAAAAGCGTACAATTTTGTCTGTGGGCAGTGGAGAGAGAGAGAGAAAGAGAGAGAGGAGTAGCGCGAAAATTTCCGGGCAAAACAAAATGGCGACCCGCGTAGTTCGGCTCGATTCGAAAAGTTAAATAGCCGTAGTATCTTTGTAGACAACCAAATTAATTTACTTTTGTTTTAACATCATTTTTTAACTTTGTTTTGGTCAATTTGATTTGATCGTCCACACCGATAGACAGTATTCAGAAAGAGACAGAGAGAGAGAGAAGAGGGGAGGAGTTGATCTTGCGAGAACTTCCGGGCGGGTGAGAATAGCCACTTTCATTATCCAAGTAGATTCTAGATCTAGATTCTAGAGTGCCGAATAATGGCAGCCTTCAACTAAACTGACTGTGGCACTCTGTCACTAGACCTATGTGTAACTCTATTCATTCTGTCACGTTTGTGTGAAGTATGTTGATGGTAGGCCTACAGTCACAGGCACCGGGAGGAGTTCCGCAGAAGAGGGCCGGCACTTACCGTGGCAGTGACAAGACATGGACGTCATGGTCCTCTGCTGACTGTGCAAATTATACAAGACAGTTAGGACTAGATATCTAGATCTAGGGCTAGGGTTAAGGTTAAGGTTAGGTGTTGTTGGTTGGCCGGCCCTCTGTGAGATTCTTCCCAGGCACCACACTGTCTGAGTCAGTGTGTGAGTGTAATACGTAACTGTAAGTCACAAACGTTTGGTGTGTGTGCGTGCCGTGGGGAACACAGTTGATTTGTCGACTGTCATAATCGACTCGAGTTACAAAAAGTTTCTCATGAACTATCAACAATATTACCTTCAGCCGGAAATTCTTCAAATTCATCGTCTTCTTCTAACAGACCAAGATCTGGCTTTTTAGTTGTTGTGTCTGTCATGATTTTGCGTTTTCGGTCCACTAGCGTCCAGCCTATCGACAATGAAGCTTACAGGAAGTTTAAACAGCGCTTATGCCCCTTTGTATCGTACATCGTACATATAAAAATTCTCTGTTTTACCATTTTTTTCAGGCTCGTGTTAATCTTATTTTAAGAGATTCTTTAAAAACAAACAAGGGGAAATTGGAAAATAGCATTTACAATAATCTAAAAATGCAATATTTGCCCTTGTAGGGCTCAATTGAAAAGCAGTAAGATACTATAAACAAAAGATGTGTAGGATATTAAAAAATTATGAAATTTCCGACTCGATGAAAACTAAAAACTCCAAAGCGCTTTCGTTTTCTTCGTCGTTCCTAGCCTGGGCGCTGTCCCACAGCAGAGACAAGATAGGGCTACAGTTCGTCGCAACAGCTGATAAGGAGAAAAGAGAGACTGCTGTACTGCCCAAGTTCTACCCCGTGTGCATCGACCTTCCTCAACAGCTGTTTAAATACTTGTGTTTGCTGTGTGAGACCTTATTTTCTTTGCATTTTAATCTTTGGCCTTAGAATTCAGGTCTCGATCTGACATCTCATGTTGTCTCAGTCTCATCTCATGGTCTCTGTTTACGTACTTCAGTGACAGGAGGATGAAACTTGCGTCCTCATTATTTTGTTGTTTTTACACAAATATCGTCAACACTAGATCTAGAAATTTTAAAGGCCAGTTTTATTGATTTCTGTTGATGAACCTGAATTGAATTTCTTAAGTCAAAAAGCTTTTTATCTTAATTAGCCTAATTAAAAGGAAAGGTTTGGGCTTGGGTAGCCTAGGCCTACCAAAATTATAGGTGATTTTGTAGTTTCATTCGTTGAAGTCCAAAGCTGAATGCCAGAGACCCTGAATTGCCTGGTAATCGTTGAGGAATTAACTAAGCGCGAGACTGGAAGGGAACACTAAAGCCAGAATCAAAATTCAATAGCGCTTTTTGTGCATCCCTCCCCCCCCCCCCCCCCAATTGTTATATTCGCTGGTTTGGGCCCCAAGAGTCAAGATTAGGGGGGTTTCAGGGAGGGGGGGGGGGGCATTTGCCCCCCTGACCCCAATAAAAATATGGAGGGGGGGTGGATTGAAGGGGGCATGCCCCCCTCGATTTTACCATAATTTGATGTTTTGCAGTAGGTTGTATTCCTCCTCTGTTGCCTATTTTGTCATCAAGACTTCCGGATTTCTTTCTGGATGTAAACAACTGGATCGTGGACTTTTAACGAACGGAACTTCAAGATCACCAAATGATATTCTCTGTAAATTCCTCAATGAGTAGGCCTACACAAAAAATGGGTCTACAGTCTACAGGCTGGACATTCTTGAGTAGTTATATATCTATTTGTGGTGGCCGAATTTTGCTATTCAAAATACTTTTTAATGGCTGCATCAATCGACATGCGGTTTTCGCCAAAAGATTCTTAAAAATATTCTCCAGATCATGACGCCCTTCGTTTTTTTTCAGTTTTGAGACTGTTTTGCAGCAATTATATGCTAAATTTCTTTATTTCGCCGATCGCCTTTGTAGGCCCAAGCTTCTGTCTCTGTAATTTTAGAAAATCCACCAGGTTTGTTTATTTTAAGTCGTACTTCTCTAAGTCGTACTTCCGTTCGATACTATCACACATTGTCGCGAAATACTGAGCTCTATTTTAGGTACACATGCGATCCGTATAGATCTAGCCTCATGTTTTCTTTTTTAACTTGATGCTAAATTCGACGGTGATCTTTCGTTTGATGCTCATCATCGCTTTTTCTGGACTCCTTTGTCGAATTCTTTTTCTTGCTACTAGGAACAATCAACTTGGAAACATGAGTTTCACTTTTCTCTCAAGTTTATTGCTCCATTCCAGTAGAGTGTAAATATAGTAGGCCAATGACTTTCAGTTGATGTTAATGCACCGATCATTCCTTTCATCGAAAGGGGGCCCAGCTAAAATATAAAAATCCATCAACATGATAAACCTGAAGTCCTTCTATAATATTTCTATACCATTTGTTTAGATTTTCAAGTTCAGCCTGTCTTTTGGGGGCTCTCGTGGCCTAGAGGTTAAGGTGTTGGCCTCTCATTCAAAGGTCACGGCTTTGAATCTAGGTAACGACCGGAAAAGTTTTTTCTCTAAAATTGTCTCCTTTCACCTCCTTTTCTGCTCTCCGTTCTGTCATCTGCTTTCATCTCCTCTTTCTGCCCTCACCCCTTCACCTCCTTTGCCCCCTCCTCTAGGCTCCTGACTCTTTCTGCAGCCTTTCTACTCTTTGGCTCCTTCTTACTGCTGTCTTTCTGCCCCACCCTTGATCTTCTGGTAGGAAAGATCTACCCCTAGCCTTCTCAGACAAGGGCGACAAATCTCGGGGCCCGTGTGCAAGTTGCGTTCGTTAAAGATCCCTTGGTGGTCTAAAATCGATAAGAGTAGGCTTCGGCCGCCACCCGTGCAAAATTCAAAATTTCCTACCAACTGAAAAAATTAGGTGTGTCCCGCTCACTCATATGATCTTATGTCAGTTGCGAGCGCCGTAAATCATCACCATCATCATCAATGTCTTTCACCCCTGGCAGGGTATATAGGCCACATACAAGCTCCTTCCATTTTTATCTCTGTCCTGAGCCATCCTTCCAAGCTCGTTCCAAGTGAGCTTCATTTCTCTCATGTCCCTTTCCACGCATCTCCTCCATGTTTCCCGTGGCCTACCCCTGCCCTGTGCTCCTTGTGGGTTCCACTGCAATGACTGTCTTGTGATGTTTCCGCTGGGCTTTCTTAAGGTGTGTCCCATCCATCGCCACTTTCTTAGTCCTATTTCCTATTCCGTAAATCACTTGCCAAAACAAAAGCCTGTTTTTTCCGTTAATTCATTTGATTGCTGCTGCAGACCTAGAATCATAGGCTACACTTTTAAGCTTACAAATCCATCTGAATTGATTTGATTGTTTGGAAGTAGATTAAGGACTAAGATCTGTCAACAGCTGCTGTGAAAAGGCAAACCATATTGTCATTTATAATGGAATTAAGCCTGATAAATCAGTTGGGATGAATTCTAATTGAAGAAACATGGCAATGCAATTTTTTTCCACTGTCTTGCTCTGTCTGTTGAGCACTTCTGTCTAATTTTCTAGAATAAACATTTTGTTCAAATAAAAGCATCAGCCCCCACACTGACTGTAAATCCTTTATAGGGAGACTGTTCCCAAATATTTTTGAAATGACCAGATCAACAACTGTAGGCCTAAACAATTCTAGTTTGTTGTATCATGACCTTGATTGTTCTAGCCGTATTTCCACACACATCAGGCTTACTTTGAGAACGTAGCGGACATTGTCCGACCAGCAGCAGAGCAAAGGCAAAGATTCTGCACATTTCAAACCGTCATACACATCAGAACCAAGAGTTTGCATATTTTCATAGTATGCATATTTAAATGTATGCCTTTTAAAGTTTTGAGTTCACTTAAAGGAAACAGAATCGGAAAAAACTGTTTAAATAAGTTGAATGACCAGAATGCTCATCCTCAGTGAGTAATTAACTTGTGATGCTTTCCTGTATTCTCTGTGATTTTGTTTTTGCCTGCTGTACCAGTCATATTTCATGAGACACTATCGCTGATGCATTGAATGTTTTTGCCAATGGGTGCTCTATTTCAAATCAAATTTGAACTGATAGCTGCTGATACCCCCTTGATATTATATTTAAAATGTACATTTCAAACCATGTAAATGAAAAAAATAAGACAACTCATTTTTAGGTCTAATACCATTGTGCTGAGGTTGATCTGTCGATCATCTCACTAAAAGGAGGAGTCAACATGTACTAATAGCTGGTTGTGTGGGATAACTTAAATGTTGTCTCCTCTTATCATTTTTATGTTAGTAGTCTAGTTGACAAATTTAACAAGAGACTGGAACAGAAAGAGTATTTACTATATGTTATATTTATAACCCCGTCAATATAATATTTTCATAGATTATCTCTATTTAAATTTAGTCAAGTGCATTGATTCTACACACGGTCATTTCCCAGTCTGTGTGGTTGTTTGAGCCCAGAATTACCCATGAAATTGGGGCCTGTGCCAAGAGAATAGGATGACCACCTGACTTTTGTGTGTGTATAGAGATGACCTTCTCTTCTGGAGATTTAGTTTCAGCTCCGAACTGTTTATGGCCCATAAAAGCTTGCCAAGTTATGATATTTATGTTCCACGATTATCGCTGGAATTTGGTTAGATTGAAGTGCAGTTGGTTGGAAAATATTTTAAAATTGTGTTGAATTTGAAGCAATTTTTTTATTTTAAAATAATATTTATAATGCTACTGAAGCTAAAGAAAATTATTGGGTCAGTGTCTATGTTTAAAGCAATTTTACTAATTCAATAAATGTGAAAATAGTAGAGTAAGTGCCTATTTGTATTACCTTAGAATCCCAAGAACCTGTCTGCTTGTGATTGCTCTCCTTCACACTCAATTTCCTGACTTTGAGTCATGATGTGAAGTGAATTTATTTTCTGTTGGAATTTCAATTTGTTATATTTGTACCCCCACCCCCACCCTGCAATTCTTCCCTTTGACTTTAATGAGTTGTGTTGATCTTGAATACAGTCGAACCTGCACTAACATCCATCAGTATAGGACAATCACCTTTAAAAATAGCTGTTTCTAATTTCTTTCTTTGAGTATTTTTTTTTACATTGCAGCAACACTGTATAAGATGGGCACTTTTCTCCACGATAAAGGGTGGCCATTTTAGACAGTGTCCTCTGAACTTTTATATGTTGCATCCTTTTATAATATGTGCTACAGATTCTTCAGGAAAAGGAAGGAGAGAAATATGGGCAAACTTTCTTTTTTATTGTCATACTCGCTATTTGTTCATGTTTCACGATGCGATGGAATCAGGCGCTCGTAAATTTTTTGACCCATAGAGCTATTGGTATCATACGAAAGCTCATTTATTTGCCTTGCTTCCCATTTATCTTTAATAAAATTCAAGATATTTGTGACTGAAGGAAATGAGGTCACCTGGTTTCAGTGGTGAAATTAACGAGAAAATGGCCACCAAAGTTTGGTAACTCCAATTGCTAAAGAGTCTTTGGAAACTGAAGAGTGACATATTTTTGTGTCTTTAATCAGTGTTTTCCAGTAAACTTCACATGGAAATGTATTTTTGTATTGACCTTTAAGAGGATGAGCCAAAAAATACAAATTCGACAAAAATGTCCAAACTGGCGGAAAAATGCCTGTTTCTCAGGTTTCAGTATTTTGATGAGTGCCCGATTTCACCACGCTGCCTCACATATAAGAAAAGATGAGAAATGCAGGAGATAAACAGACAGAGAAAGATAGAGGAGACAAGGTCGTTGAAGTATGGATATCTTCAATCGACGCTTTTTTCATTTATTTTAACATGCTCTTCAACCAAAATGGCATTCTTTTTTTCCTTCAACAACACGTGTTTATTTAATTTATCTTTCAGACCCTGTAGCCACGGAGTCCAGGGAGGAAAGAATTGACAGTGGTATAGGAGGTTGTCCTGCCACTGGAGACCAATGTCTCTACTTGTGAGTGGAAACTTCTTGAATTTAGGGATATGCACTGAATATGATATTACATCATATTTATGTCTTGCCACTTGTATGATTATATCTGAAAGTCTGAATTTACTTTTTGTTTGTTTTCTTTTCTTGACTTAAAGTACAGCCAAGAAGTACGAGCCTGTGTACAATCTTACCCCCTGCCTGTGGTTATAACTTTTCTTTTCCAGGACTGGTCTTAACTTATATGTTGTTTTGCGAGTGCTCTGCTTAACTCTGCTTCTTCTTCAGTCTATCCAGCCTGGTCATAGCAAAATGTAGCCTTTATCATTCTGACTTGCAGTGAATTCATGTGGAGCTATCCTAAGAATTTGTCTGTATTGCTTTGTTTTTGTGCCAGATATGGAGTAGATCTACATTTATTAAATATCAGAGAGGAATGGTTTGTGTTTGGTCAGCTTCCAACTGATGACCTAGCTCTTTTATTCAGTACACACAAACTGTGATACCACGGAACAGGTAGTGGAGTATGCGTTACATTGGGTGCAATTATTATTTTTTTTAAAGTATATTATGTAGAGGATGTGGAGTATAATAAATAGTGAATACATTACATGTCTGTCCTGTATTGTTATGATGTTGTGCACATGACTGCATACACGAGGCTCCCACCTATTCCCCAATCTCTTTATTGTAGAAGTTTGGGGTTCCTCCTGAACGCTTTCATGATAGAGCTTTTAGTATCACAACACTCGTATACAGCTGTAAATAGACATGAAAAACTTGCAACAGTAAAATGATTGATTAACAAATTTTAATCATGGCAAAAATTTGTGTTGCTAATGTTTATTTATTGTCCATTTCAAGTTTGAAAAGCTCACTTTTGCAAGTGTAAGGTAAAGGAAAATTCATAACAGGCTTGCCAACTGTCCTGAATTTCTCAGGACTGTCCTAGATTCTGAAATGTTTTAGCCTTATCACATACAGTATACACTTGTCCAAAATGATTCCTGCTTGATGTAACTGTGTCTGTTGTTATGCAATCTATTGTTATAACTTCAGTGTCCCCATTGGATTTGGAAGAAGTTGGCAAGCCTGCAAGATAGCTTTTTTAAAGGGAAGGGGATGAGGGCTTGAGGTGAGGATATGGAAGACTAGACAAATCCAAGATTGTGGTGGCAAATGTGGCTTGATATTTTATACAAAGGTCACTATTATCATGCATATTCACTTATAATGCCCTTTATTTTACTATAATTTCAGAATTGTGCCTGCTCAAAAGAAAACCGTTTGAGGGAAAACAGATCAGACAAGAAACTGTTGGACAAGGTGAAAGAGAAGACAAAGGAAGAAGTAGGTTGATGAAGTGTGAACTTGAAATTCTATGTTGTAACATAGTTGTGATTCACACCTCCTCTCCGAGGTGTTCTTGAGCTTGGGTTGCTGGGGAAGTCTTCAAAGATTTTTTTCTACTTCACTCAGCCCAACCTGGGCATTACATTTTAGAGGTCTTGCCTTTTGAATGACTTAATGAAGATAATATATTGTTACGGAACACAGCACTACCACATTTCTAAACTAATATTTCGAAGTAATAAATACGAAACTCTTATCGTAAGTGCTGGATCCCTTTATTTGAACCAGAGTAGTGCATAGTAGATTTCCCGTAAAGTGGGTTGGCTTTGGCTCTGTCCCTTCCTCTTCTCTCTCTCGTCCGACTGCCCCTCACAGGACGTGAGTGAGCAACTATATATAAGCCCACGTGAGCTTCCCCAGCACGATATCCCCGTGCTCCGCTCGAGACCCCGGCGCTCCGAGCAAATACAGACCAACCTCCCTTACACCAGCCGGGCTGCCAGGAAAGTTGTCATTTGCTAAGAAAAGTGGCCAAGTATCCACAACAATATATGGCATTTTTGTAGCACTCATGCTTGATTAAAGTACACAGCACTTTATAATGCAACAGTAACATATAAATAGTACATTGTGTTCTAACCAAATTTCACTATTTAGAAACAGAAATGACTTTAACTGACATTTAAATGAATAAAAAAAGATTTGATCTCCTTTGAATTAATGGGCAAAGCATTCCAGATCTTGGGCTGTTTACACAGGCAGGGTCGCAAGCCCATCTCCTAATTGGTCTAAACTGTGTCAATGGGAGTGTAAAAAACACCTTTTTTCTTTTAATCTCTGCCTCTCTGACATCTCAGAGTCTTGTGTGACCAAGTTCTGAGCCAGTGTAATGTTCTCAGCACTGAGATGTGTCAAGTGTGCACCCAGCACAGCAGAATTAGAGAAAAAGATTCAGACCACAGAGATGAGATGTTACCACAGACTCCTTGACATTTCGTACAAAGGCCACATTTCAAATGCTGAGGTACGAAAGAGAATCACCAACGCAGTGGGGCAATATGAAGATCTACTGACCACATTGAAGAGACGAAAATTAAAATGGTTTGGGCATGTCTCAAGATCCACAGGACTTGCCAAAACAATCCTGCAAGGAACCGTACAAGGAAAGAGAAAGAGAGGAGGGCAGAGAAGGAGATGGGAGGACAACATTACAGAGCGGACAGGAAAGACGATGGGTGAAAATCGGAGGAAAGCAGAGGGCGAGAGCTGGTTTTTAGATGCAGTGGTGCCCCCACGGTTGCCCCAACCACGGGATAGAAGAAGAAGAAGATGCAAAGTTTGAACGAAATTAATAGAAAAATGAGGGGAGGGGAGTTGGTGGAATTGCACTATGAATGGGTCCTCTTTTATTTTGTTAGACATACTGTATTTAAAGAGCAGTTTGCTAAATTCTAGTTTCTTCCAGCTTGTTTCAGACTAGAATTTTGCATTTTGCAGTCTGAGAGTGTGCAAGGAGCCGTAAGTGCCTCTCCAGAAAAGAAAATGGATGGAGTCATATGTTACCCGCCAGACAGTCAGCAGTACGAACTGTTTGCTGTAATCGGTAAGTAAATACTGCCATCTTCCTCTCTCGAGATTCCAGTGCTAAAAATAAGTTTTATCATAAAAGACATACCACTGTTCCAAAAACATTTTTCAAATTTATATCTTCAGTACGATAGTTTTAAAGATATGCCACATTTTGTAACTCAGGGTGTTAAAACAACGTTTGGAGAAGAACAGCTTTAACCTTAGTATATTGACCAATTTCTAGCACATTTTTAACGTTTGGTGAAGTACGACATGTGGCAAAATAATTAATAAACAGATATTTAAGCTTAAAATTTTTTTAATCCTTTCAATATGTTATTAAGTAGTGAATAAATGTGTATTTTCTGATGGAAGTAAAGTTTTGACCAACTGCAACTTTTTTTAACCTTTTCACACCGTTGCTCAAAAATAGCGTTACCGACAACTGGGACCTTTCTCCAGGCACACACACATACTCATTGTTGCTTTCACAAGTAGAATGAGTAGTTTCATTTGACGATGTACTTACAATGTTATATTATAAAGAGGAGTGAAAGTTTCTGTGACAGCACTGTCAGTGTCCTATTTTATGCATGAAATTGGCTCATCACAGTACAGAAATTAAATGGCTGCTTATTTTTTATTGAAGGAAGCTATAGTGAAAGAATCTGTTGGCTTGTGGAATGTCACCACACAATTGTGGTGAGGTGGAGGAGGGGGGATGACAGTACTCAATTATACTTCACAATGTTTCCCATAACATGAATTTCATATATTCATATATATATATATATATATATATATATATAATGTGTTTATTGTTTTTTAGATGCGTAAATTGATATCGCTTCCTTAGAATTTCAAAGTTCTATCTGACATTTTTGGCCATTTTGAGCTACTAGGACCACGAGTTCAGAAACCAAATGTTCTGTCTGCTCTATCAAAATTGTAAGATTATTCTGAGTCGTTATCAAGATATTCAAAGGATTACTAAAACTAAAAGAATTGACTTCTAAAACGCTTGAAATATTGTGAAACTCATGAAATTTTTAATGTCAAATTCCTGAAAACTAGGTACTGAGCAGATAGAACTTAACAATTTTAAGGTAGTGATATGTTGACCTAGATTTGCCAAATGCTGATTTCAGTGCTTTAACTTGTCAGAACTATGGTAAACTCGAAAATAACAGCAATGAGAAATCTTTTATTTAAAAACTTAGATATCACGTTGAGTCTTTCTTTCACTTGTTTAGGCAACTGGATTGACATCCTGCTCTTGAAAATGCATGCCTGTATTTTCCAGCAGAAAATAGTGCTCCTAGAAAATGTGTCATACCTGTAGCCTGAAGTAGTGTATCACAGAACAGCAACTGAATGGCTGCCTACATTTAATTAAATGAGGAAACAGGAGTCGAATCTGAAGGGTTGTCTGAACTTGCTGAATTTCACACCTCATATGAGTCCTCAATAGCAAGCACTATAAGCAGTATCAAAATTCTTCCTGAAAAATGTTCAAAGAACCAGTCTCATAGTTAGAGCGTAACACATCTTTAAAAAAATAAATTTTCAGGCAAAGGTCATTCCAATTCATCCACCATATCCCTGGCAAAGCATGTGTCCTCGGACGGTCTTGTGGCTGTGAAACGCATTAACCTGGAGATGTGGGATCGAGAGCTCTCCTACCTACAGGTAACATCATCACCATTATCCGTCTCCTTCTCTTGTCAAATGTCGGGGCACCATTGATGATTTTCCAATAATGTCATTCTTCTCTAGGAATAGACAAAGACATGAGAAGTGCCAACACTCCTCCAGAACATGATGAAACTAAAACTGAACTTTGGGCATATCGAACGCCATGATTTACCCGAGAACTATATTCTGGAAGCAAAGGTAGGAGGCTTAAGATAAAGGTTGAGAGAGACCTAACAGAAAATGGAAACCTATCTTGGAACCAAAACAACTCAGGCGAGCAGAATGGCCTTTTGACAGGGTGTTTTACTGCCAAAAAAAATTTTGAGTGGCAACATCCAACAACTGGAAAAGCTGAAGAGAAGAAGAAGAGGTTCACTCTGAGATGAAGAGGACCTTCAAGTAGCCTTGTTTACTCTTCTTACCCCGTCAGTCTATGATATATCATTGAGATACACTGCCGTGCCTGTATAATTCTGCAGTCCGTCATCCATGTAGTTTTCTGGCCTAAGTCTTCATTCTAGTCCATGTCTGTGAAACTTTTTAAAATTAACTATTTTTGATAAATCTTATTTGAATACTGTAATCTCCGCTTAAACGCATGCCATACATGCATTTTCCGCTCAAACACACGTTTTCGCCGTATGACAGTTTTTAAAAACTCTTTAATATAACCCTTAAAACCCTGAATTCTTTTTTTTTTCATACCTCCCTAGATTCCTGAATTAAATTGGAGATACTAGAAAAAATTAGGTTGGTTCATTGTTTTTTTCACTGTGTCTTTAATTGTTAGATTTTACTGAAGTTTGAAAAATGTCATTATATGAATGCATGTCTTGACAAAATGAGAAAAGGTTAAATCACTTGTTTTTATGACCAACTCTATTTGTAAAGTCTAATGTGTGATCCCTGACTCCACCTCAGTCGAAGCATCATTAGACCTAGCCGTAGATCTAGCCTCTGATAGCTCTAGTGGTGATCCCCTGCCACTTCCACTATCATCAGAATCATCATCGATGTTATGCGGAACATTGCAACCGTCTTCAATGGTCATATTTATTGATATATCCGACTGGGGGATCATCATTGGGATTTGGTTCATGATCAAAAATGTCAAAAATTTTGCGCCCTGAAGGGCCTGGCAGCGAAAAGTCACTAATTTGTCTTTAAAACTCACAAAATTTCCTAACTTTCGGTGTAGAACTGCTCTCATGACATTATCGGTACTTTCTGCTCGCGACAGAGTCATCTGGAGTTACATCCCCTGTTTCTAGCACCGGGAATTAAACGATAAAGTTGACCATTTAACACCTTTTGTATTCACAACCGCAGTCTGGGACTCCTTCATAAAATAGTCACGTGTCGTCACATTATCAGCCAAAGTGACTGTTCCCTCCCCCCCAAGGGAGGTCACTAAAATATCAAGGCAATGAGATGATATGCGTCCCTTCCTCCATTTGCACAGGTTCATGTAAACGCACGTCTCGTAAAAACACACGCTAAGGAGCTCTCCGAAGCACCGTGCGTTTACGCGGAGACTACTGTATTTATGTTAGAAACAAGAATCTTCTTATGTCTGCTTGTTAAGTGTTATAACGTTAGTTCTTATGCTTGAGGTGAAAGGTAGAACTGGGCAATTTTTCGGTATGTTTCCGTGAGCGCCTACGCATTTCAAAAGGTTCAGGATTTTTTGTCAGCAGTCACTTTTATCCCTGTATTTCATTTTGTCTCTATTTATTTATCCACCAGGAGAGACATTTTTGGCAGGGCGCCTCGTACATACAATTGAACATGCTCTAACAACTGTTTAAGACCTGCTCAAACTACCACTTCGTGGGTGGTTGGCAGGTGCTCTGGTGTGGTTTGCTCTTTCTTTCCTATCAAACATCTATCGTCCTTATCTCCCCTTCTTCTTTTTTATGTTTGTTACTCTCTTGTAACACCTCTAATCTTCTGGCGCTCATATGTCCTTATGCAGTTGCGAGCGCCGTAAAACCTCTACTAAAACTAAACTAAAACTACCCCTTTCCACTTCCCCCTTGTATATTATTGTAGCTGTAGTGACACTGTCCAAGACATCTACCTGTCTAAACTACCACTTTTCTCATCTACAATGAGTGGCCATCTTGAAAATTTTCAACTGCGGTATATTTGTATATATTTTTCTTGAGAATTTTATGTAACTCACTTCGCTGGCAGCCTTATGGTGTTTTTGTGGGCACTCCACCTCATGAACTTAAATACCCTCCGGGGTCACACTCATAACTGTGCCTGATCTACAACAGGGAACTGCTGCTTTTTCTTTCCTGATCCTTACTATTGTCATTTTCCTCTACTTCTTTTGTATGTTTGTCACTCTCTTGTGACCTGCTATTTCGGGGTGCCTTGATAGTCGAAGCAGACCTTGTGCTGTTGAAGCTAGAGAGGTGAGCAGTCTGATTCCCTTTAAAGACTTCTCTGTTAACACCCACCTCTTGGCGCTCAGAGGACCTTATGCAGTTGCGAGCGCCGTAAAACCCTCTACTAAAAAAAAAAAAATGAACTTAAATATAATGTGTCTGAGCTGGACTACCTTTATCCTTTTGTGTTCCAAAAAAAAAAAAAAAATACAAAAACCAACCAACCCAACAAACAAAACGACTAACAAACAAACAAAAATTGCTGAGCTGCTTGTGTCCCCAGAATGAGATAGTGCTGACTCAGCAGTTGTCCCACCCCAACATCCTGCCCTTCTACTGCAGCTTCATCACACAGCAGGAGCTGTGGGCCGTCATGCCTCTCATGGCTTTTGGTGAGTGCGCCCACCCGTGTGCTTTTGTTTGCCTTTGATTTTTCTAAAGAAGGGAGTGTCGACCAACAACATCATCTGGGTTTTTGTTGTTTATTGTGCATCTCGCCAAATTATGAAAAAACAACAATAACAAAAAACGAACCGTAAAAAAAGGTTGGTCCTTGTAAGAAAACTATTTTGGTACGTAACTTTAGACAAGTTATGGTGGGTAGTTGGCGGGTGCTCTGATGTGGTTTGCTTCTTCTTTCCCATCAAACATCTATCGTCCTTTTCTCCCCTCCTTCTTTTTTGTGTTTTGTTACTCTCTTGTAACACCTCTAATCTTCGGCATTTATATGACCTATTGTGTTGCAAGTGTCGTAAAACTCTTACTAAAACTAAACTAAATAGACATGTTATGAATACTGTAGCGTCACCCTTTTCTTCCTTCGCCTCTTGAAGCGTTTGCAAACTTTTCTTTATTGAAAATACCAGCACCATACTACCCTCTATTTTATCCATATTCTGATAAGGGGGCTTGAATGTTTACTGCTTTTAACCTCACAGTTATTTCGAGCATGTGTTGGTGACACAGTGTGTGTCCTTGAGAAAAACATGATCACTCTTGCTCGAAAATAAGGTGTTTCTCAGTGACAACTTACAATGGAGAATTAATCGCCTGTACTGGTGTGATATTGTTTGTTTGCTATAGTACCTTTGTGCTTGTATTATGAATGCCATTTTTTTTTAAAATTTCTCTTCGAACATCAGTGAAAGGGGAATTCGATTTATTTACAGTATTGTACAAAAAGTTTTAACAAATATAAAGTAATAGCTACAGTGGAAATCATATACAACAGGCCGGGTAATGACAGGGATCCGGTAATAACAGGGATTTTTTTAAATCCCCGTTTATTTCCTACTCTTTGTCTCTATTAAAAGTTATCGGCAATAACAGGGCCTCATCGGAGCCCTATCGGTTATAACAGGGACTAAGGCTCATTAACAATGTGTAAAAAGTCAGAAAGCACACTCAGCAGGTGAAGCGAGAGAGGGCTGCGATGTGCTGCAGACTTCGATCTATCCCTAAGCCTAGCTACACTCACACATAATGTGTCATGCGCAGGCCTGCCACATGGCCACAAGAGAGGGATGCAGTGTGCTGCAGACCTCGATCTAGACCTAACCCTGGCTAAACGCACGCGTAATGTGTCATGTGCACGCCTGCCGCATGGCCAAGTCTGAGAGCCCTGGTCATGCGCAGAGCTTGCTTCGAGGCTTTCACAGTTCACATGCATCACACCACACAAAAAAACCCTAACATGCAATAATTATTACCTAGTCCAAAACCCCTGTTCGTGGGTACTTGTGGTAAGGGAAACTACCCTTGAATTAATACAGCTGGATTAGTCCACAAATGCTTTCTTGCCTTGCATTTCTGATTTAACAGACAGGGATCTGATATGACAGAACTTTTTCTCTGATCCCACCATCCCTGTTTATATCAGGTTTCCACTGAACATGTCAACATACTCGCTGTTACCAAAGTAGCCACAGTGAAAGAGGGAGAGAGCATGGTCACAGTACATGTAGGAGTGTAGGCCAACAGCCTTTAATGCCAAGGGCAATGATGGAGGCCAAGGACTTTTTATTTCATGCATCACAGAAGATTGCAGAGACAAATCATGCCTGAACATTCCAGTTACGTGTGGGTAGTCTACAGCTGCATGAAGACACATCTGATATTTTCATCTCATGTGCAAGTGTGTTTTATCTTCAACAGAGATTACATAGGCAACTATTTTCCGGCTTTCTCTACAGATAGGCTTAGGTGAAGTTGTAGTAGAGAACGGACCATGGGGAAGCGAAAGAAGCAGAAAAGTTTCTCTGTTGCGGAAAATGGCTGATCCCAGCTCTATTTGAATTTTTTTTTTTTAATCAATGTCAGAAACCCAAATCTGGGCTGTTCTGAACCCAACTTGTGTGTTGTCATGGTATTGGGGACAAAATTCATATAAAATGTTGACCGAACTGTCAAACTTTTTCTGCCTCCCTTGATATAGCCAGAAATACGCACGTAGGAAAATTTGTACATGAGGAGAACATTTCCACTGCCCTCCGAATTCGCTTTGTGCACGCTAAACTTAATTCGTTAATTCATGACATGTTGACGTACACATTATATTTTATTTCAGGCTCCTGTCGAGATTTGATGCACGCCTACTTCAACTCCGGCCTCCCAGAGCAGGCCATTCTGTTTGTGTTGAGAGACGTGTTGTCAGCGGTGGAGTACATCCACCACAGGGGGGTTATACACAGGTCAGCTTGCCACAGGACCCGACTTGTCTCTTGTTTTGACCACTTGTCGGCTTTGATACAGTGCAGTCCGCTTGATCCAAATATGATTAATCGTAAAGTGATGATTAACCAAAAGAAAACCAAATTCCAGATTTTTTTCTATTCTTTTTGATCAACCTCTCTAAACTGAAGAAAATCTGGGTAAACCACAGAGTTTAGTTGAAAGGCAGACTCCATTGTATTTCGCTCTTTACTCCCATGATTTTTTCCTCCACTTTGTGAATTGCTTTGTTACCAGGTTGGTTTTTAATAATCTTTTTATTCATGACTCTCCTTTGGCTTAGCTTGCTGTCCAATTGGATTGGAGTTGGAGAATGTTGCTTGGACAGACCATGCCTCTAAAATGTCCTTGCTATGTGTTGAAAGAGATGTGAAATCCTTACCATGCTGATAGTAATCCGACAGTCGCGTCATAGTAACGGTCGAAGAAGTCGCATGAACAAGAATCACATAATTTTGCTGTTTTCGATACCTCTGTACGTTTCACTAGTTCTAGTGCCTCAGAATATGATGTGTCTGATAGCTAGGACCCTGGATATGTACCCGAACACGGCCAGAGTCAAAGTTTTAGGGCTAGATCTAGCACTAGATCTAGACTGGTGTTGTTTGCGCAACGAAATCACAATGTCATACCATACATCTGTCTCATGTAATTCAGTGTATGGGTCTGAATAAACGCACAGACCAGCTTTTATATTTTCACCAAACACTCACACATGCATAAAAATCAAAACAGAACACTGAACTTTTATTTTTGTTGTTGTTGTGAATTTCATTCTACCAGTCAAGTCTCTGGAAATTTTTAGGAAAATCAAATTCATGCCAATTTTTTTTAAAATCATACGAATTAAAGTATTAGACTTATACAACTTAAGTTTTTTGTATTTGATTAAGCTTGAATGTTACTTGAATGTGTCAAAAAATAATTACAATAGGGTAATTCTGAGAGTTGTGGTGATTTATTGAAATACGCCCAAAAACGCCAGTCTTCAACGTTTGTGACTGGTGAAAGGGCCCAGTAGTAAGTGAGTTAAGCGTTGAAGACTGGTGTTTTGGGGAATATTTCTGTAAACCACCACAACTTTCAGAATTATCCTATTGTAATTATTTTTTGACACAGTAAAGACCCCCCGGGGTAGTGCCACTGACTGTAGAGTCTTTAGGCCATTCCCAAAGGGGGACACTTCTCGTTCATGCACAGTAGAATTATCCCCAGGGGCAGTGCCACTGACTGTAGTGTCTTTAGGCCATTCCCTAAGAGGGGACATTTCTCGTTCATGCACAGTAGAATTGTAAATGGGCTGATTCATCCATGTCACGCTCATAACTGTGCCTGATCTACAACAGGGAACTGCTGCTTTTTCTTTCCTAATCCTAACTATTGTCATTTTCCGCTACTTCTTTCGTATGTTTGTCACACTCTTGTGATCCGCTATTTCTGGGGTGCCTTGATAGTCGAAGCAGACTTTGTGCTGTTGAAGCAAGAGAGGCGAGCAGAGTACGTCTGATTCCCTGTAAAGACTTCTCTGTTGACACTCACCCCTTGGCGCTCATATGACGTTGTGCATTTGCGAGCGCCGTAAAAACCTCTACTAAATAAAATAAAAACACAGTAAAGTTACATTCAAGCTTAATCTAATACCAAAAAAACAACTAAAGTTATCTAAGTCTAATACTTTAATTTGTATGATTTTTTTAAAATTGGCGTGAATTTGATTTTCAGAAAAATTTCCAGACGTGACAGTTAGAATGAAATTCACAACAACCACAAAAATAAAAGTTCCAAGTGTTCTGTTTTGATTTGTATGCATGTGTGAGTGTTTGGTGAAAGTATAAACGCTGGGCTGTGCGTTGGTTCAGACCCATACTCTGAATTATCTGAGACAGATGTAGGACAGGACGTTGTGATTTCGTTGCGCGAACAACACCACCAGTACTAGTGTTAGATCAAGCCCTAAAACTATGACTCCGGCTGTTTTCGGGTACATATCCAGGGTCCTAACTATCAGACACATCATTTTCTGAAACACTAGAACCAGTAAAACGAACAGAAGTATTGAAAACAGCGAAACTGTGATTCTTGGTCTTGTTCATGCGACTTCTTCGACCGTTACTACGACGCGACTGTCAAATTACTATCAGCTGGGTACAAAAAACATAGAGTTCCGGTCAGTTCAACCCCTTTTGGGGTGACTGTTCTTCCCCTTCAATAACTTAAAAACTGTCGGCCCCAGAGAGAACTAAGTCTAAGTAGCTCAGGACTGGCCAAACAAGGGCACAAAATGGGTCATGCGACACGTGCGCGATTTGTATTGCGAAAAAAAATTCCAAAGTTGATCACGCAGGACTTGCAAGAACCGTCACAAGCGTCGTGGCGGGGGTCACGCAACTGTTGCCTCTTTTGCCTTTTATTTTTTTAGTGAGGTTATGATTGTTTCTCTTCTTGATCAAGCTAGAATTGAACAAAAATGATTGTGTTCTCAGAGGTATCAAGGCCAGCCATGTAATGATCTCAAAGACAGGCCAGGTTCGCCTGTCCGGACTACACAATGCCTTCGACACTATACAGAGCGGCAAACGCATGCGTCGTGTACATGATTTCCCTGACCACACAGTGGACTGTGTGCACTGCTACAGCCCAGAACTCTTGGAACAGGTAACGATGGAAGGATATTTCTACAGCTGTTGGCTTGTAAATGTTTTTCGTCCTCAATCACCTCAGTTAAATTGTTTGCTTTGGCTACTGGCTGCCTGTCAGGGCTAACGTGAACTGACATTATATTTCTGCAGATAGACAGAGATTATTTGACAAGATGTATTTTCTCCACTCAGGAATGGAACTCACACAATCTCCATACCATGGTAAAGAACGTCACCATTACACTATAAACAGCCGTCCTCAGTTTAAAAAGTATAAGGAGAAACTTTTTTTATTTTAGGGATTACTCTCCTGAATCGCTGTTTTTGATATTTCTGTCTCACGATTATTTTTTTCCCTGCTGCGTAATTTGTGAGGCTGTTTGTTCTGTCCTAATGAAAAAAAGGCTCCCGAGATTTTTTGTTTGTATACCTGTACGTTTGTGTGGGCGTTCTGGGGGTGCGCACGTGTGTGTGTGCGTGCACATGTGTGCGTGTGTGTGTGGCGGAGATGGGAAGAAGGGCACGTTCATGTTAGGCTGCATGTATACATGTTTGTATGTGTGTGCATGTTTTGTGTTGGAGAAATTAATAGAGTATAATCCACTTTTATCGACATCCGATTTATCGACATCAACTTATTTTCCAAATACAAAATTTTTCCTTCAATATCTTCACTAAACAATTTCTCTTATATCGACCTTTTTTTTCGGCCCACTCTGCTTTATCGACATGCTTTCTGGGTACCTGACGAAGCCGACGAACATAAATGGGGGGGAAAAGCCACGCTAACTATCAATGCATTAGTTCTTCATTAAGTCCGCATACCCACCAAGTAGCTTTATATCGACACACCAGGCTTTAGTAGGTCGTGTAGGGCCTACACAGTGTAGTCTCCAACACAGTACAGTGCCTCACAGACGTGAGCGTCTCACGCGCTGGGCATCACCTCCCTACCCCCACTCCCGATCGCTCACTGCCCTTCTAAGGATGCTACAACAAAGTTTGCCCTGGAGTGTAGTGTGCACCTTGCATTGCTCAGTCTTTGGTACCGTAACTCCTACTTCCCCCCCCTGCCTCTTGTTAGTTTCACTGTGTAGTGTGTAAGCCTACATCATCTTAGTGGAGCTAGAGATCTATTTTTAGTAGTGTTGTCTTTTTACTTCCAACCCCTCGTCCACGCCGTGGGAGATGGAAACAGGACAAAGTAGGGGATAGCTGGGTCTGGGTGAAGTACGGTGTGACTTTATGTCACTGAGGCGTTACGCTAGCCGTGAAGGCCGACCCGGGTCACCCCGAAACGTTGCTGGCCAACGGGGCTCTGGTGAAACTGCGACTGGCTTAGCAGGCCGGCAGTGGATATAAACATTGCTCAAGAAAACATGAGACACAAACGGACTGATCAAAACGGAAAACGACCTGGCGAGAAAAATGGACAACGATCAAGAAAAAATGAAAAAATAGGGACATGGAACATTTGCAGCTTGACAAATAAAGAACCTGAGATAGTGGAGTTCATGACCCAGAACAAGATCTCCATCATGGGCATTACAGACATCAGGAAAAAAGGGACAGGCACAAAAGAGATCCACTCTAACTTTGTCCTCATTTGGAGTGGGGTAAGAAAAGAACAAAGAGCTGAACACGGTGTGGGTTTCATCATACACCCTGACAAAGCAAAGGAAATAATGAGTACAGACTTCATTTCTGAAAGACTCATCAAAATCAGCATTAGAGAGGGCAAAAAGACCACAAACTACATTCAGGTGTATGCACCGTGTAACGACTCCTACTCAGACGAAGAAAAGGACTCTTTCTTCGAACAACTCTCGTACTTAATTAGCAACATCCCAGACGAGGAAGACCTTTATGTAATGGGAGACTTCAACGGAAGAGTCGGAGAAAGAAGAACACCGTGGACAAAACACCTGGGTCCACACAGTGACCACAGAACACCATGCAATTATAACGGCAACCATGTACTGGAACTGTGTGCAGAGCACAACTTATTCATCACCAACACCTTCTTCCAGCACAGAGCCTCTCAGATCTACACCTGGTACAGATGGAACAACATCATGGTCTCATCACAGATCGACTTCATATTAACGAGAACACGAATGCGGATCACAATCACAGACTCAAGAGCCATCCCCAATGCAGGCCTGGACACAGACCACAGGCCAATCATCACAACGTTGACCACCAAGAAAGAAAGAAAACCAAAAAAACATAAAAGACAGCAAGAGAGACTAAATAATAAATATGCATAAACTCAGAGATGATCAGGTGCAGGCTCAGATCAGAAGCACGTTAAATGAAAAACTAGGCTCTATCAACTCTACAATACTAACCGTAGAGGAAGCTTGGGATACCTTCAAAACAACTCTCCTGGACACAATGAAAGAAGTCTGTGGTACCAAGAAAACAAGAGGAAAACACAGAAAAGCAACAGCCTGGTGGAACGAAGAAGTTAAAGATGCTATCAAGGAAAAAAAGAGACTGTATAATGTATGGGTCAAGTCAAAAAACGAAGAGGACTACATTAAATATAGACTTGCAAGAAGACACAGTAAGAAAGTCGTTATAACATCAAAAGAAAAGTCATGGACCCAGTATGGCGAAAAACTAAGTGAAACCTGCAAGACCTCACCAAGAGAGTTCTACAAGAAGGTAAAGACAATGAGAACGAGAGATGAACCCTATGTACCCACCACTGTCATCAACGATACTAATGGAGAAGCTCTGCACGAAGAGAAAGAAATAATAAAAAGATGGGAAGAATATTTTCAAGAACTACTAAACCCATCAGGAGTACAGGCACAAAACACACAGTGCCCATTCACCGCCAACTACCCTGAGCACTCAGAACCTACCATCCTGGAGAGTGAAGTGAGAGAAGCACTGAAAACTAGTCCAAAGAACAAGGCAGCTGGAGACGATGGCATCACAACCGAAGCCATCCTTGCATGCGGCGAAACCGGAATACATTGGCTTACAATCATCTTTCAAAAAGCATGGAAGGAAAGAAAAGTGCCAGCAGACTGGCAAAATGCGATAGTGGTGCCAATATGGAAGAAAAAGGGCAGCAAGAAAGACTGCAACACCTATAGAGGCATATCTCTTCTCAGCCATGTGGGGAAAATGTATGCAAAAATCCTAGAGCGACGTACTCGCGCAAAAACCGAACATCTTCTCAGTGACGCCCAATTTGGCTTTAGAAAAGGAAGAGGGTGCACTGATGCAATCTTCGCACTCCGACAACTGTATGAGAGGGCTTTGGAATACGACAAAGATCTCCACCTCGTATTTGTGGATCAAGAAAAAGCCTTTGATTGAGTAAATAGAAACAAGCTATGGAAGATCTTAGAGCAGTACGACATCAAGGGACAACTGCTAGACAACATCAGGGCTATCTATGCCAACAGCAAAAGCGCTGTCCGAACTACCAGTGGAACATCGGACTGGTTTCCAGTAATATCCGGAGTGAGACAGGGCTGCAATCTCTCCCCTCTGCTCTTCGTGATCTACATGGACCAGATAACAAAAGAGGCCAATCCAGACCCAGAGGCACTCAACGAACTCATGTTTGCAGATGACCTGGCAATGATTAACAACAAGACTCAGCTACAGGAGCATATAAACCAACTAAATGCGAGCTGCGAAAAATATGACATGAAGATCAGTATAAGCAAGACCGAAATCATGACAATTAGCAGGAGACCAGGTAAAGTGGATATCAACATCGATGGATCCCAACTAAAACAAAGCAGAGAATTCAAATACTTGGGCAGCATTTTCACAGAAAATGGAAAATTAGATCGAGAGATAGAGACTAGATGCCAGAGAGCCAACGCAGTCAGCTACCAACTGGGCCCTCTCCTGAAACATCCCAATATCCCCATGAGCACCAAGGCGAAGCTCATCAACGCCATTTTCCTTCCAACGCTCACATATCAGTGCCAGACATGGACTCTAACAAAAGCCCTAGAGAGGAAACTGGTCACATGCGAGATGAAATGCTTAAGAAGAGCGGTCAACAAAACAAGAAGAGACAAAATTAAAAATGAAGTCATAAGGGACACCGTGGGAGCAACACCAGTCCTACCACACATTGAAAAACAAAAGGTCAAGTGGTTCGGACACCTCACGCGGATGCCCTCAAACCATCCAGCTCTGAGAGCATACAACATTAAATATTCTGGATGGAGAGCCAGAGGAAGACCAAGGCGACGATGGAGTGAATCTGTGGCAGACACCCTTAAAGATCATGGGATGTCCCTCCTACAGGCCACACGACTTGCTGCAGACAGACACCTGTGTCTCCCCGCGACACCCCAGGGTACAAGCGGAAGAAAAAAGTAAAGTAAAGTCTTTTTACTGCTGACCTCCCAGTGTTTTTTCCTTTTTGGCTTTATATTTTAATTTTTTTACATTTTTATATATAATATCGACATCAAATCCACTTTCCAAAGCATGCCGATATAAGCGGATTATACTGTAAATATGTGTGTGTGTGTGTGTGTGTGTGTGTGTGTGTGTGTGTGTGTGTGTGTGTGAGCATTGGTCTGTGTTCATGTGTGCAAACTCAACCAGACTGTACACCCCTCAAACTCCGCCAGGAATACTGATACTAATTTTTCCATTTTTCTTTCCCCAGAATCTGGCAGGTTATAACTGCAAGTCAGATATGTACAGTATTGGAATTTTGACGTGTGAGTTAGCCAATGGCCAGTCTCCATTCTCAGACATGCCTGCCACTCAGGTAATTAAATTATTATAAGTGAAAATGTTCCATGAATTTTACATTTTGAGGTGTAGTGGCAATTCCTCCTTTGCCTTTTTGTTATCAAATACTTATACTTAACCCTCTGAGTACTGGCCTCCTGAGCCTACAGGACCTGTGCACCTGAGCTATGCTGGATATACACAATTGTAGACTGAGGGGTGCATTCAGTGCGCAGAAGGATTAAGGTAGCACATACTTGGGTCATTTGCCCTTTTAACCTATAGGACCCTTACACATTGAGCTTTGAGAGAAAAGCTCCTCGATTTAAGATGTGTTGTACTGAGGCATCCTTGCGAATGCAGAAAAGTAAAAGTATCACAAGGCTGGTAGTATTAGTATTATCCCTTAAAACCCTATACTGCTGGTCAACTTTATCGTTTAATTCCCAGTGCTAGAAACAGGGGATGTAACTTCAAATGGCTCTTTCGCCAGCAGAAACTATCGATAATGTCATAAGAGCAGTTCTGCACCGAAAGTTTGGAATTTTTGCAAATTAAAAAAAAAATATTGACTTTTCGCTGCCAGGCCCATCAGGCTGCAATATTTTTGACATTTTTGATCGTGAACCAGACCCAGATCTTGATTCCCCGTCGGATGTATCGGTGGATATGACTGTTGAAGAACGAGTGCAGTGTTTCGCATAACATCGATGATGATTTTGACGATAGTGGAAGTGGCAGGGGATCACCGCTTGAGCTACCAGAGGCTAGATGTACGGCTGGGCCTAGTGATGCTTTGACACACAAGATTTTACTCATAGAGTTGGTCCAAAAAACAGTGTTTTAACTTTTTACCCTTTTGTTTAGACTGTCCATTCGTATATATACATAACTTATTCAAAGTTCAGTAAAATATGACAATAATTAAAGACACAGTAAATAAAACAATGAATCAACTCGATTTTTTTCTATTATCTCTATATTTTATTTCAGGATTCTAGGGAAGTATGAAGGAAAAAATCAGGGTTTTAAGGGTTAAATTATTAAAGTATCAACAAATTCTTGTGCCAGTTCTCCATTTCCAACAACACACATGGCTTTCTTCCTCCTCTCATCGTCTCAGATTTCTAGGAAAATGATTCTCAAATCTTCAGATTTTTCTTTTCCTGATATTTGATGTATTTAATTTGAGCTTTTTGCAGAACACTTGTAAAGGAATAAATGGTGGGCCTACTCCCAGGGTAGTTTAACCCTTTGAGCCCTGACCTCCTGAGGCTACCATGCCCCTCTACTTGAGCGATATATTACTAATATTTGTATGATCGTCAGAATCACATTCCATTATATCCCACTCAGGGCAGTCCTTTTCATTACCAGCATCTAATTCAGAAAGATCTTCAAATTAATCAATACTGCCTTTTGTAGTAAATGCTGCTTTCAGTACACGTTTTGTCCCTGGCAGGGCGGGTTGGGGGTGATGTTTCGCTCACCACTGTACCGGTGGCTAGGCATACTGGCAGTTTTTTAGCGCCACCGATTTACCGGTTGCTAGGGCTGAAAGGGTTAAAGGTACAGCTCCTCCATAGAACTCTTCTGTTTTCAGATGCTCCTTGAGAAGCTGAGTGGTACAAAGCCTCGACTCGCAGACTCAACAACAGTGGGCGAGTTTATTATCGATGAAGATGGTGAGCTATGTCACCCACTTTTTCCTCAGTTGATGATAATGATAATGGTTGTAATAATAACAGTGATAATTATAATTAGATGATACTGATGTTAAGAAAAATAGAGATAATAATTATTGAAAGAATAATAGTAATTGTGATTACCATGATAAATGACTATAATAATGAATTATATATATATATATATATATATATATATATATATATATATCTTTGACCTTTTGGTCCTCAAATGTTGTTAAAATTTCTAGTTTTACCTTTGTGCTTTTTTTCTTCCCGATTGTCTGCCTCAACAAATAAATCTAGCTCTAAATCCTCACCATTGTCCATTTTGTTTTTCTGACAAATCGCTAGATCCTGCCCCCTTATTCATTTAGCAAACTCCTGACAGATTACAATAACGATATAGTAGATTGCCATGGTGGAAAAGATCAAAGATTAAAGATTCAAGCTCTACTCGGACAGGGGGGGTAAAGGAATTGATGAAAAAAATGTCAGATTCTAACAATCTAGACAGGCAGGAAGGCTCATGTAGTGATCAACTTTGGTCAATCTGGACAGGAATGGCTAAAGTCGAGTGGATTCTCTCGCATCACCATAAGTTTTGCTCTATTGTGTAGTGTTTTCTTTTTTTCTATTTCTATTTTTTTAAATCGCCCATGTTATCTTTGTAGGTCATGAAAAAAATTAATCAACTTGGATGTGTGCAAATGTTTAATCAGATTTTCTTCTCAACTTGAAATAAGGAATAGCAACCATTGCAGATTGCACTGTAGTCAAAAAAGCTTAAATTTGGCTGTTCTAAAATAGGTTGTTGCAATGTATGTTTTCGAAATGTCTCTCTGGGCTTATATATAGAAATTGTTGCATATGGGGCTTGACATGTTTACCTGTTGTAATGGCATTTTTTTTTTCTTTATCATTCATCTTATAGAAAACGCTGATGACCAAAGTGGCACCCCTCAAGAAAGAGCAGATGATATTTTTTTCAAAAGAACATTCTCACCGCATCTTCACGACTTTTCCTCTTTGTGTTTAGAGAGGGAGCCTCTGAGCAGGTAGGCCACATTGCTGTTTCAGTTGTGGTTAATGTGTTGGAATCTGCAAATCCCTGCCAGTGTGTGTGTGTAAATGATGCAGTAGTTTTTTCCACTTTATTTCAAAATAATTTTTAATCTTTTGATCATGTCTCTCTTCTTTGGGTGCAGCATTATCTGAGGATATCTTCAGCTGCGTTCTTCAAGCCCATAAGTCATTAATTGAAGTTTTGGGAAAACTAAAGAAACAGAGAGTGTGTAAATCAGAATCATGATTTGAGCACTCCAAATAAACAAACAGACAAAGTTCTATAAAATTATATAAGATTCTCAGTGCTGTCTTTATCTAAATAGTATTCCTGAATTTATTATTTCTTTTTCATATTTTAACCAATTTATACTCAATGCATAAATATGTCCAGTATAATGTTGTTAAAAAGCTCACTCAAAGTTGAAGAGATTGAGATTATTTATAGCCGGATGCCAAGATTGGACACAGTGTGCCAAATGTGAAAAGGAGGTCACTCCCTCGATTCGTTGGTTGAGCAGTGGTAGAGTCACCAGTACACAAGTTTTGCTTCCCTTAAAAGCGAGCACAAGATATCATCCTATGTGCTCATCACCGATGGGAAATGAAACAAAAAGAGAGACACTCTTTCTAGAAGTGTATTTTGCTTTTCTTTTCAGTGAATAGAAACTTTGTAACTTTTCAATAAAATCGAGTGAAAAAAGCATGTTTCCTCTGGCTAGTGGCACAATAGCCAGTTCTGAGAACCTAATATTAGTAAGGGGAAATTGAAATGAAAAATAAAATGTCATAGATTTATTTTCTATTTTACTCCCAAATTAGTAGAGGGACATTGAAAAATAAATTGTCATTAATTTATTTCTATTTCTATATATAGACTCCCAAGTAGGGGGAAATTGAAAAATAAAATGTCATTGATTTGTTTTCTATAAAATAGCAAAGGGAAATTGAAAAATGAACTGTCATTGATATATTTTCTATATTAATTTAACTGATTTTTGTATTACTCTACTCCTCCCTCAGGCCCTCAGCTAGTCAGCTACTTAGCCACCCTGTCTTTAAAGCCATCCACAACAAATCCTGCTCCATTCTGCCCAGCCTCCTGCAGCCGGTCACACCTCTTACAGATATCAGCCGAGCCCCAAGAGGTGAGAAATCCTTTCCGTTGGGCTAAAATGAGTGTCTTCTGACTGAAATTGTCCCGAACCAGAAACTTAGTAATTAAATTGCTCTGTCGCTCTGTACATTATGAAAAAGTTCCGCTTTTCCTCGTTACAGTGGTGTAGGTTGTTTGTATGTTTGTGTATTTAGAGCTGGAGAATCTTCAGTGAAGGCGAAGTCCCTCATGGTCAGAATGCGAGGCCAGCCAGGTAAAAAATAAACACCCAAACTTTCAAATGCTTCGTAGAAAGATGGATGATTAAATACCAATGTTTCATTCATGGGGAATGACAGAGCTTCGAAAAGCATTTGAAAGCTTGGATGTCAATTTTTTTTAACTGGCTTACCTCACTTTCCCCTGCTATTCTGTGGTTTTCCAAATACATGAACGTAAAAACAACATGCATCATTGTAGTGAAAAAAGCGAAAGTTTTTCAGGGTGCGCAGCATTTGGTGTTTAATTGTGATAGAACAAAGAAACAGCCATCTGAATTACCCCGTTTTCTTCATCTAAACCACCCACTTAGAAGGCCACGAATCGGCTTACACGCAGAGTTTATGCGACTGAGAGTACTGAGACATTGTTAGGCATCATCTTCGAGGAAATGATGTCTATATTGGTGGGTTTTGTTTGTCTACATCTTCTTTCTTTTCTTCTTCCTGCCCCTTCGCCTCTCTCCCCATCGTCTTTTTAATGTTTTGACTTAAACCCATGAACTGATTATGTCTGAGAGGATTAGCAAATCAGACGTCACTGTGATGTGATGACCAAATTTGTTGGCCGTTACTTTCTACATGACAACAGTGCTCTCAAAGTACTGTGAAAGATGCTGCCACTGAACTTGTAATCAAGAAAACTTTGAACTCACTGAAAGGAGAAGAAATCTTAGGGGGAGGGGAGAGTTGATTAATTAAAATCAGTCAAATATCTCATAATAAACTAACATGTAAATGAGAAAACTTGGACTCACTGAAGTCACTTACAAAGCAAACAGCACCTGCTAATGTGGTTTAGTGAATTTTTTTCCCTCAGCAAACCTTACCAGATCTACTCTATTCCAAGGGACTGTTGACCACTCTGCTCCAAGGATCTTTACACACTTAGACAACCAAGGGTATTGAATATAATACACAAATTGCAAATGTACGCGGTACACTAAGAGTGACCTCTATGAGAGACACACAGCCATCTTGTGGAACTAATCGGAGGTTCTCTTCCACACTAACATGTGTGGTGTAGGCACATGCGCAAGACACAAGTCTGAACATGTACCAGGGTCAGAAGAGGTCATGAGGGCGACTAGTAGGCCTACACATGCTGTATATGTGCTGCCCCCAGGGTAAACATGTGGGAAACATTGACTGTTGGCAGAGGTTCGATGCAAACGTGTCATAATATTTTTTTTCCATGATAGATTTATGCAGATGACCCCATTATCTGTAGATAGAATGGATTTGCAATATTTTGGCGGCATCTTCAATACATATCAGAGAAGTCCTTGTATGAGCAACCTTGAAAATAGTATTTTGGATTTCGTTTTTCATCTTGACCTTAAACGTCGAAGTCAAGGTCACAAAAAAACGCAAAGTTTCAAAAGTCTATCAGATATTTCAAAATATATTGCTAGACCTGCATGTTTGCCTACAATCGTCTGAAATCCGACAATTGCGACCCCGACCCGCGAACCGGCCGATGCTATGGCTAGGCCCACCTGTATTAGTCAATGTTCGAAGTGCGAGGCCTGGCCGTGTGCCAGCGACCCTTTTTTCTCCCGTCGGCTTTGTCGGCACTTTCGTTTTCGTGTCGACCGCCGACGCGCGCACCGCCGACTGCCGACGTCGGCGTTTCCGACATAATTGTCGGAACCTGAGTAGAAATACGAATACGAAAAAGTACGACGACTTAAATTATCTACTTTCAGTTTCTTGCTCGAGCGGCCATTTTGAATTTCGTTTGTTTACTGATTGTTCAGATCATGTGGATTCTTTCAAGTCCGACTCACTTGTTCTACTCTAGATCGAGATTTATATAGATCATTATAGACCTCAATGGAGGATTCATATTCCAATTCTATTGTGTCAAACCATATTATAGGTTGTGCTGTAATATTAATGTTGGTAAAACGCATTTTATCAGGTGCGTGAATTATTTACTTAGAATAAAGATCTATCTAGATCTAGATCTAGCCCCCTAGACTCAGCTGAGTCCCTCTCTTCGGAATCGGATGCGGATTTCTCGTTCAAGGCCTAGATTCTAGATCTATTCCTATTCACTTGTTCTACTAGATCTAGATCTAGATTTATTTAGATCACTGAGATCTATATGGAGGATTCATGAGATCTTTATCCAATTCTATTGTATCAAACTCTTTTATAGCAATGTAGGCCATATTATTTTGATTATAAATTATAAATGCTCCTTGTTTGTTTTGGAGTGTGCTTATTTCTTCTTTCTTTTTTTCTTTTTTTTTTGGACTTGTGCTGGCCTTTTTACACGAGGGCCGTTGCAGGTTCTTTTTTGGGTTTGGCCTAGGGGTAGGCCGATAGGGTTTGGGTTAGGGTTAGGTCTCTTCTTTATTGTGTTTGTTCGGGTGGTCGCTCGTTACTCGGAAATCCTTCCTTTTATGACACCCACAATTTAAAAGCTCTAAAGTTAAGGGGGGGGGGGTTGCACAAAATTTTCAGACAATCTGGTTGAGGCTCACATGCAGGTCTATATATTGCATAATACCTTTCTGAAAATGTAATAGATTTATAGTCTCTAATGGTTTACCTAATTTCTAATATTTTCTAAGACCCATAAAAAATCTGGACATCATCTCCCCACTACCGGTGGTTACTATCAATAAATTTTTTAGCTTAAAATGACATTTGCCATTGATTGTAGAACATTGAAGAACGCCATCAATTTCATCATCCCCAGATGTCTCGGCAGAGGAGGAAGATTTCAGCAGAAAGATGAGTGAGGTGTCGATGCAGGATGACTGGGCGTTTTGACGGCAGCAAGTTAGGACCAGAATAGCAATCTGTAACTGAAAACTTCATATTCTCTTTTTGGTGGAGTCTGTCCAACTTTTATATGCTGCTTTTGATTTCCAGGATGTATTACTAGGTACCACAAGTGAAAATTGTTTTTGAAGAGTACCATAACAGGACTATAATTTCCATATAGTGCTCAGTGAAACAAGAACTATAAAAAAAAAAAAAAGAATTTTCAAAATCCATCAACAAACACCAGAGATATGAGATTTCAAATATTTATTGGACTTGCATGACTTGTGTACAACTGGCTCGTAATGCTGTTTCATGGTCACACTACATGAAAAATGTTGAAAATCAAAAGTGTGTAACATATTCTTAGACAAAATCACTCAAACTTAGTGTAAAAGAAATTAAAATATAATTCATGTAGCTATTGAAGTGATTATAGTAGTTAAAAACCGGAAGAAAACATGAAAATGAAGTTAAAAAATGGATGGGAATGGCTTGGAACCCCCCTTTTCAAAGGTACGTAAAATAAACATTTATGTAGGTAGCGTAAACACGGCCTCGCGGGCACTCGCGGCCTTCCGACAGCTTGGTATCGGTGAAATTGGGGTAATTCCGATCGCTGTTTCTTTGCTCTTTCGCTATTAAACACCAAATGCCGTACATCTAGTAAAAGTTCAGCTTTTCCTCGTTACAATGGTGTAAGTTGTTTATATGTCCGATTATTAGGAGCTGAAGAATCGCCGTCGAAAGCGAAGCCCCTCGCAGTCGGAATGCGTGGTCGGCCGGTTCAGAAATTGACACGCGTGCATTCAAATGCTTCGCGGAACGAGGGATGATTAAATACTGTCTTTTCATTGGCGGAAAACTGTAAAGCTTTAAACGGGCTTTCCCGTGGTATATATTTGGCCTTTGGCGTTTAAATAGAAAGCTTTTAAAAATGCTGTCAAAATGTTTAAAGATCACTTTTTACACAAAATAAAATACCGGCTTAAAAAACCTAGGCCCAAGCTTTTCATCATACTTTCATGGTTCATATTTTTATGAATAAAAACACCTTTGGTCAACTTATTATGAAAAGTAGTTGCATTGAGGTTAAAAAACCTAAAATATTACCAAAAGGTAAGGTTGAAAATGTGCGAAATCGGAAGCAACATTACTACTTTCTGTTTCGAGGGATAGAGATTAAGATCATTTGGCTGTTCTATCAGTGTGCATTGACTCCCGTGAAATGACCAGTAGCTTAAGTACTAAAATATTTTTTTGCTCGGAAAAATCTGACGCATGATCTATCTTAAACAACTAAAACGTGAAATTACTTACCAATGAGATTGAACAAATCCCACCGTTGGCAGATTCGTTGTTTCCCATCTTAATCCACTCACTTGCCGGTCGGTGTGTCGAGTGCCTCGACAGCTGCCTCTTCAGCCATTATTAAACAGAAAGATTTTGCCGACACACGCTTCCACAGTTTGAAGTCCAATAACAGTACAGTCTGTGCCGGCTTTAGGTATGCTGGCATAAAGCGCATTTCGGACTCAAGCACTCTAAACGGCTCTTACCGAATATTTGCTATAGAATAAATCACCCGCCTTTAAGCACGGTAACTTCGGCTTCAGGCTCGCTTCACATTTACAAGACAATCAATACTTAACCCTTCCATGATGACCCATCGAAGTTTGAACACAGTCTACACCGCAGAAGTGGAGTATGTTAAGAGAAACACAAAGAGCACAAGTGATGGAGACACACACTCACACGGGCGGAGAGGAAGGCAGAGAGATGCACACAGCCGCACGCGTGGACATAGGATCTGATCTAGGGCAAAGCTACACACAGACCAAAAAAAAACCAAAGAGAGTCGTGGAGATGAGAAAGGGAGGCTGGCTGCGATTTCACCTTTGACCCTCGCTGTCCATTAATCCTGATTGTGTATCACGCGCGAGGTGGGATGAAGGCAATGGTATGAATGTGGCTCAGCGGGCAGTGGTACATACAGGCAGCGTGTAGGCCTAGTGTGCTGTATCGTGACTGGGCGTGTAAATCAAGTTTTCATTTCCGATTCGACCACAAAACAAAAACAAACAAGCAAACAAAAATTACCACGGCTGGTAAAAATAACAGTACACACTTTTGCGGGACCGCTTTAGGCCTACTTACAAAGGGAAATAGCACGTGAAATTTTCTACTTGAAATCTCTGGATTATGTCTACTTCGCACTCAAGTACGCTTCGGCATTAAGCATGCTTAAGCTTTCTCCCGATGACCGTGCTTAAAGACTGTACTGCGATTAAAAAAACTTTCACAGTACCGGTACTTGCTTGAATAAAATATGTTGTGAACTAAGTGCATGTGTAAAGCAGAATGTCCAGAATACTGAGATTTTATTGAAATTTCTCACAACATTGTCTTTCCATTTCAAATCTCACACTATTTTTCAAGTAAATTCTGGCATGCTTAGGATGGGGGTAAAAGTCAGATTTTCACCTTTCTTATAGTGTAAAAGTTATTTTCGTACACACAATCGCGACCGAGCAGTTTATGATAAAAAAAGAGTGGTTGTGGCAAGGTTTCGATGCAGGGCACCAGTAGGAGGCAAAATGCTTCTTTTTCCCCAATTTTAGAGCTATATTAAGCATATTTTCACATATATCAATTCTGTCCATGAACAGCACACATATATTAGAACAAAACAAGCTCTTTTAACCAATCAAGCAATCATGAGTGAAAAGGTACGTTTGTGAAGTTGGTCAAAACGACAGTTTTCCTCCTCGGGAAAAGCGCTGTCTAGCGCTATCGGTAGACCGTTTTGGTACCTAGTATTACAATACACATAGCTGTCCATGTTCATCTTAGTTTATCATAGCAGAGTAAGTACTTTTCCCCAAGCATTATTCAAATATTTATTTGTTGAATTTTGACCATGCTTTGTTGGGCATCTATTTATAACTCTCAATTAATTGATGCCTTCACTTTTGACATGTTTACGTTTTGTTTATATTGATTCATAACTGTACATATTCATTTGCGCCTGTTTATTTATTTAGTTACCATGTTCTTTTCCTCATTCCATTCCTCCTTATATTTCTATCCTTTTCCAACTTTCATGCGCAAACATCAAAATGGAATAGTTTTGTCATATATATCCACAAGCTGTAATGAGAGATGATTGAGGAGGACGAGTAAAAGTGATTCTTAAATTACTTAGAATTTTTTTTTCTCCTTTGGATGTGTTTAGTTTTTACGTTAAGAAATGTTTTCAATGAATTGTAGTTGTAGTAGCCTATGTCTTTGTGGTTAATTATAATATGTATTGGCCTCTCCTGTTATCATAATTTGCATCTTTAAAAAAGTGATATTCCATTATATTTATAGGCCCTATGTTTAAAAATCTGTTGTGGGTTCATCTGTTTCTTGTATGGTATAAGTATAACTAATTGGGGTTGCTTCTTGATTTGACTCCACGTAATTAAAATGAGTGGCTTCTTACTTCTGTCTCGTAAAGTTTTGTTATTGGGGTTTTTTTACGAAGCTGAGAATGAAACCTAATGGAGGTTTCATTTTGAAAGATTGTAGTAATAAATTAATTGATTAAAAACTGTTACTCATCTCTAGACTTGAAAGTGTTGTTTCTTTCTCTGGGGGGAGAACTTTGACTTTGAGTGACTCCTTAAGGAACACCACGGCAGTAGCCAACAGCCAGAAAAAGTCGATTTAGGTGTCTAAAACCGATTTTTCGATTTTGGGCTATTTTAGTAGAACAACATCTGCTCTATCGATTGGAAATATTTCCAAGTGTCTAAAACATCTATAAAATGCTCAAAATTTGCATAAAAGATCGTGACTTGTGCAAGTTTTTGGGTACATTGGTAAAAAAAAGCACCTTTTTTACCCCACCGTTACCCGTTTATACACGCCGACAACCCCTAAGTGTTTGGTACCGTTGTAAACGTCAACATTTCGCGCATTCACTCATCAACTGCTCGACGCTGACATACGGATAGAACATTCCTAAACCGGTCAAAATACACACTATGTGCAAGTAACAAATTCTCGCATTTCGTTGGCTGATTGGGACACACCCCCCAAACTACGAATTTTGATTGGCCAGGTCATGCCCCCGAGGTGACTTCCGTTCGCTATTCCCACTTTGTTTACCTTGACAGCCAGCAATTGTGAATTGTGACCACCATCAAGTTTTTCCAGTTCGACTGCGTTACAAGTGCTTTATTTCCAGCACAAATCTTTGATTTCAACCCTGTCTGTAAAGGCAAAGGTAAGTAAATGCATTTTTTATCATTGATTGTTGTTGATTTTGTCTTTGAAGCCAATCTTGCAGCCGCACTATTAGAATTCGAAGCAGAGAAACGATCAACCACGCTCTTTCTTTTTCGACCACAAATTAGGAATCCCTCAGATCCAGACAAAAAAACTAAAAAAACAAAGAAGAAAAAAGGAGCAACTCTCAGATCTAAGTAGAGAGTTATGTTTAGATTGATGTCATGTTATTTTCCTTCAGTTTCAGATATAGATTTAGAGCTAGATCTAGATCTAGATCTAGAATCTTTCTCGGTTCTCGGTTTAGCTTGTGTTTGCTTACTTACATTTAGCTAGATCTAGATCTAGATTGTCTAGATCTAGATCTAGATTTAGATCTAGATCTAGATCTAGATATAGATCTAGATCTAGATCTAGATCTAGTGACTAGATTTCTAGATCTAGATCTAGAATCTAGATCTAGATCTAGATCTAGATCTAGATCTAGATTTAGAGTCTAGATCTAGAGTCTAGATCTAAATTATCTACTTGACTTATTTTAGATTTTAGGATTTTAGAATGTCTGTGCATGGTGAAGGATTTTTTAGTCATTTTACTGTAGGTTTATCGTTATTTTTATAAAATTTAGCTCTGAGGGAACAGACTCACACTGGTTTTTACTTCTCTAACCCAGACACTCAATTCATTTTATGTATGTTTTGAGTTTGAATAAATGCCATTTGCAGTTTGTACATGCTGACGGGGCTTTTTATATTTTTACAGGTGACTCTGCCTCGGTGACTACACTCTGCCTCGGTGACTACACTTTGCCTCGGTGACTACACGACCAGTCGCTGAAACCATGTCAGCTCGTGACTCTGCCTCGGTGACTACACTCTGCCTCGGTGACTACACTCTGCCTCGGTGCTTCGGTGACTACACTCTGCCTCGGGTGCCTCGGTGACT